GCTAGACTATTAAACAAGTATTTGTGCTTTTTGATAGCGTCATTGGTTCAAGATAAATTCAGCCGGGCCATCTAAAAAGGACAACCTGTGTATGTGCCGTATAAATAAAATATAGGTCTGCAGGTGAAAATTAGTTTGATCTGAACTCAGCACAATGAGGTTATCCATCAATCAGGAAAATTAAATTGGACACGCGGTATTGTATGTATCAGAAAACCTAATCAGAACGTCAACGTTCTAATTTATCAGGTGGAAAAGTTTCATTCTAAAAACACACATTTTGTTCAATGGAAAACAGTAGAAAAATTCAAGTCTTCAGCATCGTGACTCAAACAACTTAAATATTTTAAAATGTAGTAATATCAATTAAAAATGTACTGAGGCTGTATAAAGTATAAAACTTTTTATATTTATATTCTAATTGATTGTGAGGTCACCATCCCTAGCCATTCCTGGCCGGTTCCAGAAGGATTTGTTGAACCATGAAATACACGAGTTGGAGTATTTGGTCGCAAAATCAACTTCTCAGACACCGGAGGTCATGCACTTTCACTTCAGCAATTCAGAAATGAACATAATTCAATCTAAACTGATAAAACAAAAATAAAGCCATGGATAACTATCATATTCGACAGCCAAGGAGTCAACAGAACACTTAACGCGAATAACAGTTAATTAGGGATAATTCTAAATTTCCTGACCGTAGTATGCAAAAACGGTGTCTCGGCAAAAACACACGCAAAAGTTGGAAATGAAAAATCTGATACCCGTGTAGGAAAAAGAGCTGCTACACCAATGACAGGAAATGTCCCTTCTGCGGGAAAATAATATAAATAATTTTATTAGGTTCCGTGGTCCGCTTGACCAAATAAATTCATTTCAATTAATTAAGGTTTGAGATAAAAAAGTCAGTGCCACAAGCGGGATTCGAACCCACGGTCTTCGGCTAAATACGTCGCTGCTCTACCACTTGAGCTATCGTAACTTCGATTCACTCGGACACTAACTTCCCATCTCAACCCCACCTTTTGAATTTTCCCTCCTTTTTGCCATTTTTCATTTGTTTTCATTTGTAGCCGAGAATCAAATAGATTACAGGACATTTGAAAAATGGAAAAAAGGAGGGAAAATTCAAAAGGTGGGGTTGAGATGGGAAGTTAGTGTCCGAGTGGATCACGATAGCTCAAGTGGTAGAGTAGCGGCGTATTTAGCCGAAGGTCGTGGGTTCGAATCCCGCTTATGACAATGACTTTTTTATCTCAACCAAAACCTTAATTAATTGAAAAAAATATAAATAATACATCAAAATAAAATATTTATGATAATAATACATAAACACATATAAATAACATCCTATAACACTCAATATATAACTTTAAAAAATACCCCGGTGCTTTACCACCTGAGCGTAACTTCTGTCTCCGAGACACCAACTCAACAAAATTTAAATTTTTCATCTTTTTCTGCCAATATTGAGCTGGCAATTGATATGAGGAAGTTGCTGCCACGAAAGCTCAGATGGTACAACACCGGGTACTAATCCGGATGTGGGATTGAATCCCGCTCATCACACCAATTTTTCAACTCAACCTTGTTTGCATAAAAATTAATATATATTAAAAAACTGGGCAAGATAACTAATAAGAATAATTTTAAAAATACATATCCCTATGTTTAATCACCACTTTTCATGACCAGGTATATACTATTGTTAAAACGTATGTTTGAAATGCATTATAAACAGCTCAAAAATAAATACGGATATTACCAATTTTGTAATATTTACTTTACCTAGAATTTTTGTTTTATTTTTATTATAAAATGCATTAAAATTTATTATAAATTATTGTGTTTTTACTGAAGGAAAATTTAATTGAAGGATTTTGAAAAATTATAAAAGAAAAGGTTTTAATTGCATAATGTTGTTTATTGGACACAATAATTTTTTTAAACTGTGTATAATGTGCCTCTGTTAGCTAAAACCTTTCTGCACCTGTTAGGCATAATTTTAATAAGGTTGTCACTGATCTCATAGGAAATTTCACTCCATAGGTTGTTGCTGGTCAACTGGCTGCGGATGGGGAACGAAAAGTCTTCTCTGCAACGCATTCCACATGTGCTCAATAGAATTGACAATGGAGGAGGGGGCAGATGGGAAATTCCCAGGTTTTCTCAGGATTGATGAACAATTCTGACTCTATCTGGACTCGCATTGTCATCCAGAAATCGAAAATCCCTGCCTATAAGAACACTGGTTTGAGGGATGTATTCCTCGAAAATTTCTTGAACATAACGGACTGGGGTGAAGCCGCCTTCGACAATATAGAGTCCAGTTCGTCCTACAGTTTAAATCCCAGCCCAGACCATTACGGCTCCAAACTGCACTGATGGTAGCCTGAACTGGAGCATTGTACGCATCCCCTGTTCTCGATAGACTTTATGGCGCTTGCTATCACTATACAGACACAAACGCAACTCAGTAAACATAGCAGTATTCCAATTGGTGTTTCCTTCCAGGCGCTTGCTGCACCATATTCTCCTGAGTTGCTGCAGGTGGGCAAACAATGTGAAACCAACTTCCCACAACCGATTATGAATCGATAAAGGCTTTGTCAAAACTTGTACTTGATTTAGGATCTGGCGGGCACTATGGAAAGGGTTTCTTGCAGCAGTGACAATATTTCTGTCCTCCCTTAGCATCGTAATGCGCTGATTCACTACCAGGCCTCCTATTGGTACGTCCAGTCTCTCAGAATCGGCCTAAAGCCCGGGAGATCACGCTCTGAGAAACTCCAACTGCCTCTGGGATATCCACTTGCAGGTTACCTCGAATATTGCAAACTTCTAGTTCAAGTTGATGTCTTTTCATGGTTAAAGAGAATACAACTGGGTTAAAAACAAGAAAAGGTGTTTGTTTACAAAACGAGTAATGATTATTTGGAGATCGTGAGATACGGTCTTGTGTGACGGTTTTAGAAAAACATTTTCTTTATCGGACCACGTTTCGATCTTTATTGAGCTCATCTTCAGGGCCTGGGATTTATAAACATTGTTTAAATTTTACAAATACGTGTAGGATATGAAAAAATGAATTTATACAATGCTAGAAAATTTTAGATTTAAAAAAATGAATTTATACAATGCTAGAAAATTTTAGATTAAAAATGTAAAAATCTAAAATTTTCTAGCATTGTATAAATTTTTTTTTTTTTATCTAAAAGTTTAGGTCAATAAACACCTCACAAAATGAGTATGTTTTATGTTTAATCCGTTATTAAAAATGAGGAGTAACATTTGTTTGTTTTTGGTTTGTATTTTTGTATTTTCTATTTTTTTTTTTTTTTTTTTTATCAAACTAACAAGAATATATCGGTTAATTTAATTTACATAATTAGAATAAGGATAAATTACAAATATCCCTATTCATTTTTGAGCAGTTTAGTTTTCCAGAAGTTTCGCCTTGTACCTGTACGCTTGAGAGCTTTTGACATAACTTGAGTCTATTAAGTAAAAAAGTGGCTAATGAGAATAACTGAATTGAAAGTTGAACCAAGCTTTCTGCATTGATAGACCCGAATCCTGGTAGCTAAGTGGGAATATAAACACATGAGCTAGTGGTGAAAAGCATGATCGAAATTCTTAACTTTCAGTCGCCTTTCAATCACATTTTTTGATTAATTAAACGTAGTGGTCAAATGTAATCAACTTTTATCGGTTTTTCAATAGTGTATTTCATACTTTTCACAGTAGAATTAACAAATCGAAGACCGTAGGGATGGCCTTTCCTCATGATTAATTTTTATGTAAGGACATCCCTCCTGATAAATTTTAGCCTAATTGTGCGGAAAACTATCCTTCGCTAAGATCTCTTCAAGGGCGACTGGGATAAAACTAGACCACTTAGACATAAACTGTACAGCATCATTCATCAAGGTTTAAAACAGAATTTATTACTAATTTTATTTTAACTTCTTCAAGCGTAGAATAAACGTATTTTTAATTTAAAAAATTTTCTTTTTTTATAACCGGGACGAGGGCAGTACTAAGATAAATTGTTACTATACATTTGTAAACAAACTTTAAGCAAGAATAAATTGTAAACGCCATTAAACGAAAATGACAAACACTAATTATCTAATTTTTCTGTTTCTAATTAGTTTTTTTTTATAACTATTGTCCGCTAAATTACACAAGAAATTGATGTAAATAATTTGATAGAAAATGTGCAATCGTCCTGAATTATTTTCATATATTTTACATCGGCACTGTAAAGAATACAATTAAACTAATTAGCTCTCCGTTTCATTACGTTTATAAGTTCCATGACGTTTTACTGTTTGTAATGGGTTTTAATGGTAATGTTACATCATTTAGAGTTGGTTAATAACGTTGCTATGCTCAATCAAAATACGTACTGTTTTATCCACCATGTTAAATACATTGAATAATAAACAAAATTGAATGTTTGTTTTATTATTAGAAATTGTAGATATGGACTGTGTAAAATAACTGAATGCAGTAAGATTGAATTCTTGGACCTCTCCTTCGCACGATATCTACCGCTGATATTCCTATCCTTCCAGAAACAATTCTCTTCACTTTTGCCCATATAAAGGTCCAACAGAAACCTTCAAATCGATTTGCATTACCTCGACGTTTAGACAGAAAATTGGAGAATTAAATGCAACGAAGAGCTAATTCATTAGCTTCACACTCAGACGTACTACACTACCAATGTTTATTTTAATGGGATTTCACTATCCCCTGTCGAACATGCACATTATCACTTGGGTCTTTACCTGGGTAAACAACTTACTTGGAATCCGCACACAAGATTAAAACAAAATCAGCTAATCAGACTTTACAAAGTTGCATCACCACCACTCGACAGACACATACCTCCACTTAACCTCAAAAGATTAATGTACACCATGGCCCTCAATTAATAAATTAATAAAAATAGACCAATAAGAAAAATTATTAGAAATATTAATACTTACTCTGGGAAGCCGAAGGGAAAATTTGCAGGTATCAAACTGATGTGAAGGGTTCAAAATTAGGTCGCAGAACAGAAGCCCTGGAATCGTAAGTAAATAACATTGTAGTGAGATGATATTTGAATTGTAATGGGTGAATACGATCAGTAGACATTTTAGAAGTGTACTTACAAAAAAGAAGTTGAAAAATGTTTTAATCCTTTGAAAAACACCGATTTTGAGAGAGCGACGATACTGTTAGCCGGGCAGGAGAGGAATAATCAAGCTCGGGCCTACCCAGATACACATTTGTATCGGGTTTGTACAAAATTATTGCAGGTTTTGAAAATTTATTTTGTTTTCGCAGGTACTTGTCGTGTAAACAAAGCTGATTCTTCAAATCTAACAGTTTGGGTGGTGCATGGTGCAGCGATAGTTTGAGAGATTCCGTCTTGGAGATTCGATCTCGAAGATACGGAAGCGGTAAGCCTTTCGTTGTGGACGACAACAACTCAAAATGTCGATTGACAAACATTCATGTAAGGGGAAACTTCAGAAGAGGTTAGTGTTGACCACTAACCCTTGTTCGCTACCTGGAGCAATATGATAAAGTACCACGGTACAAGTGGGTAACGCACGAACTAATCGAAACCCAAAGAATTCGACCCTTTGAAATTTGCACGTCTCTTCTGTTGCGCCACCAAAAAGATCCATTTCTATACAATGGACTCTGTACAACAACAGGAGGCGTACAGATCAGTGGTGGCAGATTTTATTTCGGGAAATGAAAAAAAATGTTTGCATAAGAGATACAGTTAACAGAGAATAAGAAAAGAGATAGAAAAAAATTAACAAAAATAGGTATTTCTTACGCCAACCCTCAATAAGAACATTTAAATACAGAGGGTTGGAGATAGTTACAGTTACATTATATTATGCAAAACAATAGTTATACGTGAGGTCATGATATGAGCAGTTAAAAAATTATATTTCACACTTCTACAAACTTATGATTTGAATAACAAAATTATTTACATATTTTACCAAAATGAGAAGATCTTTAAATATTACAAATGACATGATTTATTAAATAATTTTTGAATTTATTAACATTACTAAAGTCATAAAAATTGAATTTAAACTGAAGTGCTGTTTTTAAACAAACAATAAAGGCATGTTTGGCAAAAATTTCAGAATTATTTTAGGCAAGACAATTTTTCATTTTTTAGATAAACGAGTAGAATACACATGCAAATTATAGCTATGTGTTTTAACTTTAAATATATGAATGCATTCGCCAAATACAAAAGTTTTTTAAAATGTTTTGGCGCTTCTTCCTTGTCCAACCACTGACCAGTACGCCTCCTGTTGTTCACTAGAATTTCCTGAATTATGATGAAACTATCACAGCAGAGAAATATTACCAAGAAATTGACAAAATGCACGGGAATCTGCAACGTCTTGTTGGTCGATTAAATTTGAATATTTTATTTATATTCCTGTCCTAAGGGGCCGATTCTTCTTCACGACAACGCCAATCCACATGTCGCAATGCCAATCTTGCGGAAACTAATTCCGTCTTCCGCGGCGGACAAAACCCGTCGTTAGAAAAACGCGGCTTGACTGTTTTTGAAGCACCCAGCGAATTCCGCCGGCCGATGACACCATACGCTTCCATTGTTTCACATTGGTTCAGTAGGAAGCGTCATTCCGTCCTCCGCAGCGGACAAAACCTGTCACCTGGAAGACCTAGCTTGACTGCTTTTGAAAAACGCCAGCGTGTTCCGTGGGGCGGACGCGGAAAACGCTTCCTACGAATATGCTTACATTGGTTAAGTAAGGAGCGTCATTCGTTCCTCCGCGGCGGACAAGCTTTTGAAGCACGCCAGCGGATTCGGAAACGCTCCCATTGGTTAAGTAGGGAGCGTCATTCCGTCCTCCGCGGCGGACAAAACCCGTCTCTAGGAAGATGCGGCTTGACTTCTGAGCGTCATTCCGACTCGTCATTTCATCCTCCGCGCCGGACAAAACCCGTCTCTAGGAAGATGCAGCTTGACTGCTTTTGAAGAATCTCAGCGTATTCCATCGGCCGAACCCGCCGGCGGATGTCACAAAACGCTTCCATAATTTCCCATTGGTTAAGTAGGGAGCGTCATTCCGTCATCCGCGGCGCATAACACCCGTCGCTAGGAAAACGCGGCTTTAAGTACAATATATAACCTTACCGCACCCTCCATATTCGCCGGACCTCTCGCCTACACACTTCCACTTTTTTACGTATTTTGATCACTTCTTGAGGGTTAAAATTTTTAGAGAACGCGGTGAAACCGGAATTACGTTCCAAGACTTTATTGTTAGTCGAAATAAAAACATATCAGCGGAATAAAAGCGCTTATTACACTTTGGCAAAGATGAGTAAATTGTAATGGGAAATATTTCCAATAAATCTTTATATTATAAAAATTAAAAATAGTTTGGACTGTCTTTTCAAAACCTGCATTATTTTCGCACCAGCCCAATATCACAAAGACAAATTTCGGCGATTTTTTCCCCAGACGTTTTTCCATTCACTGTTTCCACCAGTAGAAAATATAACTGTTGACTGTATGAAATACCCGCCAGATTCTTAGCAATGAGTACCAGAGGGTATGAAGGGTTAATAAAAAACGATTTAGGATGAAATTGCCTCGAATTTGTGAATAAAATTACTATCTCGATTAAGTATAAAAATTAATATTTGTTTCAATTAGAATAATAAGTGAATAATTAATGAAGTAAAATGTAATTGAAATGTGTGAAGAGGGTAAATAATTCGTCGCCGAGTTCAAATCGAAAAGGCAGGGCTTTGCAACGAGGCAAACTCGAAACGGCGAAACAGTTAACCTGCGAGGAGTTTACACTTGATAAACACCCAGGTCTCCCAAGCCAATTGAACATGTTCAAGCAGTTATAAGTTAAACAAACAAAAAATAGTCGAATTTATCTACAATAAACAGAAAGAAACGTGTTGAACTGACAAAAATAAGGTAAAAATTTGTACTGATCAGAAATACGCGCGGTTTTATTCATCGCAAGACGAAGACGTGCTTAGATATAAAGAAATCACATTTGAACTAAAATATTTCCATAAATTTTATTGTCGATAGTTTTATTTGGCGGCGTTTTAATCATCGAATTGTTTTTCCTCAATTTTGCAGATGTTCAGTCAGACCGGCCTCAACACATCGGGGACGTTCAGCTCGGTCACCCCGACGTCGGCGAATCCGATGAAGGATTTCGAAGTCACGTCGCCACCAGACGATTCGGTCTCTTCGCTCGCGTTCAGCCCTTCGACCCTGCAGCAGAACTTTCTCATTGCAGGCTCTTGGGATAACAATGTAAGTGGAAAAATCACGCGCTGTCGGACACAAAAAAAACCATAAACGTCTTTTTTTATAATTCGATCCTCAATTTGGTGTGTCAGACGCATTTCGCCATCTTCAGTGTGTCATGGAGATGTTCTAAAGATACCGAAATGTTGAAACGCGTCTGACAGACCGACCCGGCAAGGATAAGCAGATCATGTTCATCAGTAAGGATCAAATTAAAGGTTCATCCCCACATAGACTACAGGATGAAATCTCAGGCCTTTTTTATACTTTGAATCCTTATTGTTTACTTTCTTCATCTAGAGTGATTCTTTGATGCGATTTTGGAAAAGGATACTGTGTATCAAAAAAGTATTGGAACACATAACTTTACTTAATATGTGAGATGATTAGTGACCGTTAATCAATAATTATTCAGAAATTGTGAGATGCGGTCTGGTATGACGTAGGTTTCAGAAAAACATTTTCTTTATCGTGCCAACATTTCGACCTTTATTGAGATCATCTTCAGGGCCTGAGATTTACAAAGATTGTTTAAATTTAATAAATACATGTAGGATGTGGAAAAAAGTGAATTTATACAATGCAAAAAAATATATTTTTTTTTTATTGAATCAAAGTATTTCCACTCACTCAAAGTGTTTATCTTCTATGTAATTGTGCCAGTTTTGCGTGTCGTGTTGAGACTACACACGCAGGAATGGCACAATTACCCAGAAGATAAACACTTTGAGTGAGTAGAAATATTTTGATTGAATATAAAAAATATATTTTGCATTGTATAAATTCACTTTTTTCCACATCCTACATGCATTTGTTAAATGTAAACAATGTTTGTAAATCCCAGGCCCTGAAGATGATCTTAATAAAGAAAGAAACGTTGGCACTATAAAGAAAATGTTTTTCTGAAACCAACATCACACCAGACTGCATCTCACGATTTCTGAATAATTTACTTAATATTTAATTTAGTAAAAACGATTTTTGGGGTTAGATTTAATTTCAAACATTGGGAATTGAACCAGAGTGATTTGTTGATTTTTGAGCATGAAAGTCTTAATCTATAATAAAGTGTGTGGTGATTAGTGACCGTTAGTCGATAATTATTCAGAAATCGTGAGATGCGGTCTGGTGTGATGTTGGTTTCAGAAAAACATTTTCTTTATCGTGCCGTTTGATCTTTATTGAGATCATCTTCAGGGCCTGGATTTACAAAGATTGTTTAAATTTAACAAATACATGTAGGATGTGGAAAAAAGTGAATTTAAACAATGCAAAAAAATATTTTTATATTGAATCAAAGTGTTTCTAATCACTAGACGCAGAAAACAAACACTTTGAGTGAGTAGAAATACTTTGATTCAATATAAAAAATTTTTTTTTTTGCATTTATAAATTCAGATTTTTCCACATACTACATGTATTTGTTAAATTTAAACAATGTTTGTAAATCTCAGGCCCTGAAGATGATCTCAATAAAGATCAAAACGTTGGCATGATAAAGAAAATGTTTTTCTGAAACCTACATCACACTAGACCGCATCTCACGATATCTGAATAATTATTTATAATAAAGATATAAAAGTACTTGTTTACTAACTGATTTTAAGTAAGTGGAGGTAATATTATTGATTGTGTTATAATCCATTACTGCTTGGACTAACAAATTAATAGAAATGATGAATGGTGGAGTGAGTGCGGTGTTCAATCCTTTTTAAAAAGATAGTTCCTACTCACTAGTTGTTTTGTTACTATCTGGATTTCGAGCTTTTACCTCATCATCAGGTTGAAGGAATTCTACAACCTGATGATGAGGTAAAACTCGAAATCCGGATTGTTGAAAAACAACTTACTGTGAGTAGGAACTATCTTTTTAAAAAGGATTTAACTTTACTTAGGTTCCAGTTTAAAAAAAAAATCAAAAATGTATTTTTTGAATATTTTTATTTCATAAAATATTTAGAAAAATAGATAATTTAAAAAGAAAAATTGAATCTGCATAACATAACAATTAAGTGAAAACATTCACTTTTACCCAGTCAAACAGAATTGGCACACTTAACTTTATTTAGGTTTCAATTTAAAAAAAAAATCAAAAATGTGTTTTTTAATTATTTTTATTTTATAAAATATTTAGAAAAATACATAATTCAAAAAGAAAAATTGAAAATTTACGTCACTCAACAAAAATGTCAAAAAATTCACTTTTACCCAGTCGAAACAGTATTGGCACACTTAACTTTATCTAGGTTTCAGTTTAAAAAAAAATCAAAATGTATTTTATAAATATTTTTATTTTATAAAATATTTAGAAAAATACATAATTCAAAAAGAAAAATTGAAAATTTACGTAACTCAACAAAAATGTCAAAAAATTCACTATTACTTATAAGTGTGTAGTATTTAGTGACCGTTAATTAATGATTATTTGGAGATCGTGAGATGCAGTCTTGTGTGATGTAAGTTTAGAAAAAGATTTTATCGTGCCAACGTTCCCATCTTATTAAGATCATCTTCAAGGCCTTGGATTTACAAACATTGTTTAGATTATACCATTTGTAGATTATACAACAAATGAATTTATTCAATGATGTACACAAAATAGAAATTTTAGGTTTAATCAAAATATTCGTACTCACTCAAAGTGTGTGTTTTCTGTGTAGATGTGTCATGTTTGTTGTCGTGTTGAGAGTGTTAGTAAGATGTCTCAAATACATTGATTAAACCTAAAATTTCTATACTGTGTACATCATTGTATATATTCATTTTCACACCTTACATGTAATTGTATAATCTAAGCAATGTTTGTAAATCCCAGGCACTGAAGATGATCTCAATAAAGAAAGAAACATTGGCACATTAAATAATATGTTTTTCTAAACCTACATCACACCAGACCACATCTCACGACCTCCAAATAGTCAGTACTTATAAGGTTTTTATGAATTGGATGCTACTAATATTTTGTCATCATACCACTGGCATCTATGACAACCTGTAGCCTCTTGGCATCGAATGAAACAAGATTTTGTGCCACCTTTGTCCACTTTTACGCCATTCCTCAAATAAAGTTTCTTTGGATACATTTTTGGAAGAAATTTTCTTTTTCTTATTTTTAGGTATAACAATTACGATAGGTGTTCTTTTGTATTTATATCCAGAGACTGTAGTGGCGGGGAATGTTCTACAACACCATTGTTTTGTTTTTGATGTGTACTTGGGGTCATTATCTTGTTGAAAGTGATCACCAGCTTTTCAGTACTAGTTTTTAAAGTATGCTGTAAAATGTCAACATATTTCCCGGCATTCATAATATTGTCAATGAAGGTCAAGTTTGCCTGTACCATTCCATGACGTGCACCCCCAAACTAGGATACTTCCACCTCCGTGTTTTACAGTGGGCCTCAGATGGCAAATTTGAAACTCAGTATTAGGTTTTCGCTAAACATACTTGCGGCCATCAGATTCGAAAATGTTGAATTTACTTTCATTTGAAAAAATAACATTTTTCCAGAATTCAAAAAATTCTTCTGTTACCATTCATCAGTAGCAGGCCAATAAGCTTTTATTGTGCGAAATGGACTAATGCTCCTAGAATTTCATATGCAGAACTATCATTACCAGGTTGCAGGTTGTGCAGAATTAGTTCCTTATGCTTGCTACATGCTCTTTCCATTGTAAACGCATGTTGGAACTTCACTCTGCAACTTGTATGTATTAATTTTGGAATACCTCAGAAAGGCTATCTTTTAAGTCCCCTCCCCCTATTTCCTCAACAATAAAGCTTGTAGGTAAGTGTCACAAGACAGAAACTCTGCTGCAAATTTCTACTTTGTCTTCTATTATATTATTTTTCCAATAAATTATTCATTCAATACATTAAATCTGTGTATTTGAGAAAAACCGTTTACAATGCTTCATCTGTTTCTTGTTTTTATTGTCATTTGTAATGCTTATTTTGAAGTAGTTTTTGTTATAATACAATCTATAATTCTGGCAATATAATTTTGAACTGATCTCACAATAGAAATGAATTACAATGATACATTTAAATTTATTGTTGTTATAATTTTTTTATTCATGTTATACTTCCTATAACATGTTTTTAAGGCTTTTGGACAGGGAAGAGTTTCAATTAATATAATACAAATATCCCCTACTATTAAAGAATACGGAGTCAGCAACAGCACAGAAGGAAGAAAGAAAAAAGTTTGTTTTAATGTTTTTGATTTTTTATGTTTCAGGTGAGATGTTGGGAAGTGGAACAGTCAGGAAAAACCATTCCAAAATCAATGCAAACAATGGGTGGTCCAATTTTGGATGTATGTTGGAGCGATGTACGTATTACAAAATCTTTAGTTAATTATTTTGTCTTGAACTGCTAAATCGTGTAGCATCTAATCAGTTATTTGCAATCATGAAGTGCCTGATGGTCGTCATTTAAAGGCAATCTGATTAATTAATTCAGTACCACTCTGATTTTTTTTTATTGCAAAAAGTTACAGGATTTTTGTATTTAAACATATGAAATCATTTTATGTTAAGAAAGTGGGCCATTATCTCATAAGGAAGATGTAGTTCGACCTTTTGCCATTGACCAAAGAAAGAAGACATTCTGCATATTCATCAAACCTTTTCACAGGCAAAACACTTAGTTTTGGCTGCTGAAATTTTTTTTTGCCTAATAATGATACAATATTACTAAAATCCCATTCAAGGAATGAGAGCATTATTTTTACAAAATAATTGAATACACAAAGTTCATAATGATAAAAAAATTATTTTAACACCTATCGAAGCCAGAGTGGAAAACAAATAGATTATAATAGATATGTAGAAATGTTAATCAACTTTTTATTTATTTATCTTTATTTATGTATTATATTTTAATCAATTTATTTAAGGATGGTACAAAAGTTTTCATGGCAGCTTGTGACAAGCAAGTAAAATGCTGGGACCTAGCCAGCAACCAGACAATTCAAGTCGCAGCACACGATGCACCAGTGAAAACATGCCACTGGATCCAGGCGCCGAGTTACTCTTGTCTTATGACAGGATCTTGGGATAAAACTCTGAAAGTAAGTAATAAGCATAAATTTATATAAATCCTTGTGCAAATAATAAATGTTTCTTTAGTTTTGGGATACAAGAAGTGCTCAGCCCATGCTTACAATTAATCTACCGGAAAGATGCTACTGCGCTGATGTCGTAAGTCTTTAAATGTTTAACGCATAATTTTTTAAGACAAATTGTAACACATTTTATTTTAGGATTATCCAATGGCTGTTGTCGGTACAGCTGGAAGAGGCCTGATCATTTATCACTTAGAGGGAAGGCCTCAGGAATTTAAGAAAATCGACTCGCCTCTCAAATACCAGCATCGGTGTATCGCGATTTTTAGGGATAAAGAAAAACAACCAACTGGTAAGAAAGACAACTTGTTAATTTTAAAATGAAAAGCAAAATGCCAATATGAAAAGGATAGCAGGCATTAAGGTGGAGGAATTTTTTCCAAATAAAACTATTGGGTGGTGGCTCAAAATAAATTTATAACAAAATTTTTATTTGTTTGTGAAATTTCTTTAGAATACATTCAAACTTCAAATCCATTTGTTGTGACAATCTTTTCCATCATATCTATTTCTTGTGACATAGGCCAAAAACTACACGTGTTTTAACATTTATTAAATGTTAAGATTTCCTTGTAGAATTTACAAGGTTTTGAGTTGTTTCCAATTCTGGCTAACCAGAATGAACAGAAATTCCCAATTTAAGAATTTAATAAATTAATGGGTTGCCTGAAAAAATGCAGGTTTTCACGTTTTCTGCCAATTACCCCTCTATATAATAAGAGTTTATATTTTTGATGGATTCTTTTATACGAATGTCAACCCTTTTTAATCCTCTTCCAAGCAAAAATGTTTGTTTACCTCAGTTGTATTTTTTTGTCACATGGAATAATTCAGTCAACGTGTGATTTTCACGTAATTTTGTTTTACAAGTTTAAACATAGTCAGAATGATGCCCAAACAGCCAGAAACACTAATGAAGTCTAGGGCAATGGCAGTGTGAGGGAGAGAACTGTTCAAAGATGGTTTAAAAAATTTTGAGGGGAGACTATCTTTGTAGACAAAGAAGGTCGTGGAAGAATTTTATAATGTTCTGCGAGCTTTGGTCGAAGAAAATCCTAGAACAACTGATTGAGAATTAGCAGAGAATTTTTCAGTTAAGAAATTGACCATTGGATAGTGACTCGACAAAGGAGAAGCAGCAGAACCACATTTTCCAAAGCCCCCAACTCCTCAAAACAAGGTGATGGTGACTCTTTGGTGGGTTTCTTTTTCATTACTACAGCTTCTTCTTGAATCCTGGCAAAACAAAATTCAAAATTTCTTTCAAATTGAAACAATGCACCAGAAATTGGCATTATTTGGTTGTATTAATAACATATTAATAATCTATCCTAAATTAGGAACAATGGGGTATTTTTATAAATAATCTGCCATTGACCCTAAACAACACACTGCTGACACTATTTCACCATCACCATTCACACTAATAAATACACGCATTCAACCAAAACACATAGAATATAACTAAGCAAAAAAACCATGTCCTCTAAAAAACAGAACAGGGTCTCAGAAACCGACTGATGTGCTCAAGAACTATTCTTAAATATGGTGGCCGGAGCCAAGGCAAGACATGCCTCTATGACCTGGGACACATCAAGCAACCTTTCTCTGCATAAGGGACACTTGTACAGACTTTGGCGCAAAAGCAGATGCCCATGTGTCAAGTGTGTATGGCCAATTCTCGCAGTTAAAGACAAGGCCAGAGCGTGTTCTCTGTTCAAGAACATATGAAGATCGAGAAGTACGGATGATACAATGAGCCATGCCTACAGAATCTCGTTTGAGACTGGCCGTAAAATCCCTTTGTCTCTAGGTTCCAGATCAGTCGATCGTTCAGGAAAAAATGGACTCCAGGTCATTACTCAAGCAGGTTATCAACAAAATCGGAATGTAACTATCTCGTAGCCAGACTTGGGTCCCTACCTTCTTTAAGGATAAGTATGATGAGCATCTCTCGCTAATCGGGATACAAGCCTGAATCCCATATGTTGTTGAACAAGTCCAACAAGCAATGCTTCCTGGGGGAGGTGGCGAATATCGTATGGGATACTGCCTCACCCGGGGCTTGAATTCCAGGTACACTGCAACTCGGACTCAAATTTCCCATTGCCAGCAGCATATTGTACCCTTCATGGTGCCACCGCTGAAATCAATCTCAATACATTCCACCTCGGTTTTCCTTCGCTGAAAGCTATCAGAATATGCCTTGGAACTGGACACCATGGCGAAGGGTTTCACCAGTTCTCTGGATGCTACCATCTCACTCCTAGGATCAGTGGTCATAATCAGCACTGATGGAGGTTTGGATTGCCCAGAGAGGGCTTTGACCTTGTCCCATACTTCCCTGGCAGAAGGTGCACCAAGTCCCCGCCTTGCAACCACCTAAAGGGAAGTGTGGGTCTGGTGGAATGTGGGAACTGGGAGCCATTTCCCTTTCCATTATGAGACTTTGAGTTAGCCTCCAGGTCAGTAGCCCTAGAGTGTATGTAATGTTAATGTGCTTGTCAATGTAGGCATATGTGTGTTATGTATGTGGATGCAGTTTACCCTTGTGCCCGGAATTTTATTATGTTTTATTATTATTGTATTTTTACCTTTAAAATAAATTAATTAAATTTGTCTAAATGTTTCAGGCTTTGCTCTGGGGAGTGTTGAAGGGCGTGTAGCTATTCAATATGCTGCACCATCTAACCCGAAGAATAATTTCACATTTAAATGCCATAGGACAAGCACGACGGCTGGTTCTTATCAGGATATTTACGCTGTGAGTCTTTTAAACCTGAAATTACTTTAACACGGATATTTATTTTTATTTTTTTTAATGATTGTTCAAGGTGAATGATATTGCTTTCCATCCCGTTTACGGCACGCTTGCCACTGTCGGTTCTGATGGAACATTCTCGTTCTGGGACAAGGACGCTCGTACAAAGCTCAAACCGAGCGAGACGATGGAACAGTCGATAACATGTTGCGCCTTTTCCCACACGGGGCAGATATTTGCCTACTCGGTCAGCTATGATTGGTCAAAGGTAAGCCAGGTTGTTATAAATAATCTGAAGTGGAATCTGTGCCAATCCTCAGCTCTGGGGGTGAGAGTCCGTGTTTAAAACATACCATTTGGACCTTTGCCAATGATAGTAACACTCTGCCTTTTGTGACCTGTAAAGAGATATCCTTTCCTATTATACTATACAAGATCTTTTAAACTTTTTTTAAAATAAATATGCATTTCTGTATAAATATTAATATAAAATACAATTCAAATAAGTTTAAATTCTAATTAATCTCTTTCAAAATAAAATGGAATCATTCTAATTGTTACTAATCATATTTTTTTCTTTTCAGGGTCATGAATTTTACAACCCAATGAAAAAGAATTACATCTTCCTGAGACCTTGCTTTGATGAACTAAAACCCAGAAGTACTTAATTATTGGATGCTTTCTCCCTACAATTTTCTTCATTTAAACTCTGTTGATTTTACAAGCCATTCTGCATCATTTTTATAAATATGTCTATAATTTGTGAAATAAAATAGTCACCCCATGTCTTATTAATCTATGGTTTATTCATTTTTCCTTGTTATTTTCAAAAATTGGGTTTAATTTTTCCTTCAAAGAAACAATTAAACAATGGCAGGTGGACTTTGTGGGTCAGAAGGGAGCCTTCTGGTATTTTTAGCAATGACAATGTATTGGCAAAGGCCTAATGAAGATTTTGTACTAGTTTATCTCAACTATATTAACATTTTAATTAAACTTGTTTGGAGATCTGGCTTTTTGTTAAAATAGTCTAAATAGAACTTATTTCAAGGTTAATACGATTCTTGTTCTTATAATTTGAAATGGAAAGTTTTCACAGTGTTCTATTTCTGCACTATTGACTGAGAGATTGCTAAACAAGGGTCAGTGTTCATATCAGGTCGAATTGACTGCGGCTTCAGTTTAAATGCAATTCTATTATGTATAATAAATAAATACAACAGTGTACATTTTTCAAAAGTTAATATCACAGTAGTTAGCCAACAGTTATAAAACACATTCATGTTGCAAGAATATAAAGACCACAATTTTCAAGATATTGTGAACAGCCAATCTAGAAAATTTCATAGAAAAAACATGAATTAACTAAAAATTCAACCAACTAATAAATTTTCTCACGGGGTTATTTGGTTTTGTATTTATGTAATAAGATTTTATAGATAGATTTTTGTACAACTATTTTCCATTAAAAGTCCGTGATATATTCTGGGATTTGAACCAGTTGAAGTCAGAAGCCCTAGTCACTCGACCACCCTTCTATAATGAGTATGGTTAGAACAAAACAAAAATGTTGTAATGAATTAGATTCTCAGCATTCTCTCATTCATAACCCGACTTGAAATTTACCAATACATTTTATATCGTGATGTTAATCAAAAGAAGATTAAAGAGAAAGTACATTAACATGGGCAAAGCTTAGTAACAAAAATAGTTGGTATTATTTCTTTTAGCTCATTTCGGTTTGTACAAACTAGGGATGATTCATTGGGATAAAATAATTATATAGGTATTGCGTTTTTTTTTGTTTTTTTTCATTCATAAATCGTTAGAACAACAATGCTGGAGTGTTGGTGCAGGAATCAATTGTTTGAGGAGCTCATATATTTTTGAAAAGAGAGAAAATAGCCTGATTAATAAGAAGAAACTTTATGGATCGGTTTACTGGGTTTTGGAAAAAGCAAAGGGAAGTGGGAACGGAATGTAATGTAGAGCTATGTGAATAGTAGGATGGCTTTTTGGGGGACTTCATGGAGGATTTGTTGCTATTCAGCATCTGGTTCACAATAAATTATACCCCTTGGCCCTGAGTAACTGCTTTGGGCTGAAGGTACATGATTACGGGGATGTGAGATTGTAAGGATTTCATTTTCATTAGAAGTAAGTTGAAGAAATTGGATGAAAGAGTTGATTTTGTCGAGAATGGCCATGGCCAATGACTCATCATCCCAACTGAGGGGAGATGATGGAATGTGCTTTAGAATTTTTTATGGCAAACCACAAGGATCTATCAGATGTTAGGTTTGATAGGCAGTAGTTGAAGATATTGTGTAGGATTTGTACTATTTTCACGAGGACTCGAAAAGATGCCGCTCTGGTTTGGCGTTTTAGGGACAGCAGGTTTAAAATGTGTGGTGGGAGAGATTCAGATTTTACTGTGGCCATTGGAGAACTGATCAGGTGCCCTCTAGACTGCTGGATGTATGGCGCAGTAAAGATGTTCATGGCCTTGTCCAGTTCTTCTGGCGTTTTTAAGGAGATATTGAGGTTAATGTAATTTTCGAGACAAATGCAGGTGTCTCAATCTTTAATGACGTTAATTAATGTTTCTGAAGTTCTTTTTCAGAATCAGACAGAGGGATAAAGTTAGGAGAATAGTGTTCTGAAGTAAAATCATGTAGGGTGGATATTGAGCTGTGTATGACAGCCTGATGTTTTTTATGATAAGAAATCTGAGGTCAGGGTTTGTATCAGTTGGCCAGTATGTAGTGTCCCAGTATGGGAAATTGAGGAGGGGTTCAACTTAGAGTCTATGTTCACACCTAAAAATTTTACTAAGTTTCTTTCCCTTGCATTATCAGTCAAAGCAAAACTGATAAGTGGATTTTTTGTAGAGTTTATAGTTTAGAATATTTAGGTATATTCACATCACAGAAACTTAGGAAGCTAGTGTAATCTGCCAACTGAAAAGAAGTTCTCTGTTTACACTAGTCACAAATACACCTAAGTCCAAGTAAATTATTTTTAAAAAATGGCACAAGAACCGAACCTTGTGGTACAACACAAGTGACTATCCTCTGGTCTGAATTTGTTTTATTTATGGCTATGGTTGTTTCCTATTTACTAGAAGAAAAAAAATTAAAGGAAATTAACGATGTTCACTTACTCTATAATAATTTAGTTTTTCTATTGTATATTTATTTTTTAAATTTTTTTAGTTCCTCTTCCTAAAAGGTTTTTTAGGTAAGGAATTTTCCAAGAGACATGTGGTGTTTTTCAAAAGCAGGTTATTTTATTTTATATTTTTCTTCAACGTTCTGGACTATTATTTCATCGTCATGAAATCCTAACAAGAAGTACAGTCAATTATTACATATTCTAACGGAAGTGATTAATATTATTTTCATAGTTTACATTTTTTATTTTATGGTCGAAATTATCTGTGATAATTACCTAGCTGTCTCACCTACTCTCCCTGTGAATTTTTTCTTTAAAGAATTGTGTCACCTCAAAGTGCATTAAAAGAATAAAATTGAAAATTTAAGTCGCCACGTCTCGGCCTACAGGCCAAACTGGAGGAGTGTCGCTTACAAAAACCAAGGAAAACTTTTAGCCTTTTTCTGTTTGTACCTTCTATTTTGATGAATAGTATCGAACGCTTTTGATAAGTTGCACAACACCATACTCATAGATTTTTTTTAAGACTCATAAATTTGTCTAACATCTTTTAACTATGTTAGAGTCATTAAGTTTTTCATATAGCAATACTGTATCGAGACTGTTAAATTGTAAAATTTAATGTTGTTAAAAACATTACAAATAGCTATAAATTATTTATTATGTTGAACCGACACACGGGCACTACTGGGTTTGTCTTCACTCGCAGTTTTATTATTAATTATTTATTAGCCTAAGTGTTTAATAAGTAAATGATTTTCTGTTTGTTGTGCTCAATTAAAACTTTATGATTATTACAGAAAAAAATCTGCATGGCAAAAAAGTAGGTTCAATCTAATGAAATATATATTAATGATAATAATAGTGAAAAAGAATATAGCAATTAATTAATTGTACTACCATCAGGCCAGTGTGCCAAATGGGAATATTATCCTCTCCTGAATACTGTCTAGAAGTTATTCTACTATAAAAATTACCAGGATATTATTTCTGACTGTAAACAAGTTCATAATGCTAACTCAATTATTATAACCTTTAAAAAATTAACCAAAAAATTTTTAAAGACAGAATTGAATGCAATTGTGTATGATAGCCAGACATTCCAGACAACAATCTAGGTAACTCTATATAAGGGCTGGCCGGTGGGGGGGTGGGGCCGTTTCAAAATTAGAACAGTAGCCCTGTGAGCGCCCTGGTAGGAAGACGGAGTGGGAGATTTGGACAAAACTGACTAAACGGATCGAGCCCTGCTTCAGTCGGGCCTAAACATCACCGGACCAACCACACATCTTAAGCAACATGGTAAGTCAACTGTTTGTTGGTGAAAGTGAAGTGTAGTGAACGTGTCTTTACCACTATAAAATGTGATAGTGTTACGGAACCGCTGCGCTTCTGCACTTCAGTAAGCTGGAGATGCAAGTTTACAAATTTGTCTTAGTCTAGTCACTATTTATATAAAATTCTTGATCAAATCTCAATAATATGCAAATTATTTTTTTTTTAAATAAAATTTTCTGAATGTATATACATAGAGATAAAAATAATTGTAAATTCATCAAAATTTTAATTTGATTTAAATTCTAAAATTGAATATTCGCTTGAAGATATGGTGATGTTTTCTATAATAATTACTTTTCATTGTTCTGGACTGATCCACCAGTATTTTTCTTCTTAGCTTCAATAGCTTTTAGTAATGTTAAATTCTCCCACATGATAGAAGATAGGTGCTGTGTGTTGGCCTGAAAGCTATCAAAAAATAAACACTCGTGGAACAGTTCAGAAAATGAAAGAGTAATTAAAATTGAATGTTCATCGAATATATTTCAACTATGCTCGCAACATATAACCAAGTTGAATGTAACTTATATTCTAATAAAATTTATGCAAATAACAAAATTATGTTAAAACGTAGGATATAAAAATAGGTCATTTTTAGACCCGTTTAGCAGCTTGGTCTATTCTAGGTTTTGATTTTTGGCTCAGCTCCAAACTAGCCATTGCCACTTTAGGGCTTTGCTATTTTTGAAACTAGGATCATATTATCATCAAGGATTGTAAAGATGTTCTTTCTCCGTATTCAATAATTAATAGTATTTTTCAAAAAAAAATGTATAACATAATTGCAAATCTATCTTTAAATCAATCTTTTAAAATTTATCACACAAATATTTTCTTTTAAAATAAGTAGTATTAAATGTTAGTTATATCACATAAGCCCACAAATCCAACATATAAATCCTCTTGCACATGTCATATAATCAATCCATGAATAAGCAGGAATTATATAAACATTTAAAATATAAAATCTTTGAAAATTTAAAACATTAGCTAAAAACATTACAAGCATACCCTGTCAGACAAAAAACAGCAAAAAATAAATTTCATTTATTGCTGGTATATTTTAGTTGGTAAATGGAACTTTTTTGAACAATTTAATCTCTTAGACTGACTTTCAAATTTACTTTTCACTATTGATTCAGGTTTTGTACAAACCTTTTCTCACACCAATAACATATTAAAACTAGTCAAATTGTTTACAGAAAATATTAGTTTTTGTAAACTATCTCTAGAAGAACATATTCATTGATAGACATTTAAAAGCCTTTAAATTATAATTTTTCATTTTAAAGGCGGATAAAGAAAAGAAAGTAAAGAAGAAGAAGCCAAAGGAAGATGCACCCGCTGAAGCAGCTGCCCCAGCTCCAGCTGCAGAGCCTGAGCCGGCTCCAGCAGCAGCCCCTGCTAAACGTGCTTCCTCCAAAGGCAGCAAGAAGGCCAAAAGGGCCGGTTCTTCAGTTTTCTCTATGTTTACTGAATTCCAGGTTGCTGAATTCAAGGAAGTGAGTATTTAACATGTATTTTTTGTACTTAATTGTTTTTCAATTATATAAAAAATTAAATGATCAAATTTCAATATTAAAACAATGATGATTCATGATCAACCTTCTTTCATCGAAAATCTTTTAAACTTAGATTTTGAAGTTATAGGGTGCAAAGGTTAAAAATGTTTCGTCACTTTCAGGGTTTCTCCCTTATGGACAAGGACAAAGATGGTATCCTTGGCAAGGAAGACCTCAGAGCAACTTGGGATCAGTGTGGCAAGCTCGTGACTGACAAAGAACTCGATGAGATGCTATCCGAGGCTTCAGGCCCAATCAACTTCACCCAGTTGCTCACTCTCTTTGCCAACAGGATGTCCGGTGGATCCGACCCTGATGATGTTGTCAGGGATGCTTTCAAGGCCTTCGACAAGAACGGCCTCATCAACAGTGAAGACCTCAAGCACGCCCTTATCACCTGGGGTGACAAATTCACAATGAAGGAGGTTAACAATGCCTTCGACGCCATGGATATCGACAGCCAGGGCATGATCGACACTGAAGGTCTTGTCCAGATGCTCACCGGCAGTGGTGACGCAGAAGAGGCTGCTTAAGTGTTTAGGCCCATCGAACAGATTACAAAAAATGCAAATTAAAATTTTAATCAAGCAAGATTCAAATTATCTGTATTTTTAAGAACTTAAATACACTTTTATTTTTATTTTGATCTAATAAAGAGAGCAACCTCTAATGTATTTTCTGTATCATTCCTTTCCATTTTATTGATAATATGCTTGCTACAATTTTAATACTCAGGAAATATATATCATACAACCATGAATAACCTTAACACAAAGGAAACAACAGAAACTTACGCTTAAAAATAAATCCTTTTACATAGCTTGATCATCATAGTGATGCTATATCTTTTTTTGTTACTTTGAAAAAGTTGGTTACATCCAATGAGGGATCAGTTTCTTTTAATTAATAGTTTTTATGTAAAACAAAGTAAAAATTGAAAATGTAACAAATCCAATGATATGCATTACAGTATAGGAATCAACTACCCACTCATGTTTAAAGATACCATGGAAAAATGGATCAGCAACAATGATGGCTTTTTTATGAACCGAATCAACGGAAGGTTACAGGCATAGTTTGTCCTATGAAATGGAACATAAACAATATTGAAATTTTGCAATGTGCGATTCAGAGCATTAAGCTAGCTCAGCCTGGGAGCGACAACCATTCTATTAAAAACTACAGCAAAAGTCAGAGAGCAGAGTGTAAAGTGTCTAATCTAATCAATTCTCAAACGTTTTACTGTATAAGGCCAGTCTTCTGACCTCAAGTGGACTCAATTTAGACATTGTCATTGCCTTGCCTGCACGCACATCCTCAGGACTATTATTGTTACAGATATACAAGAGGATTGAACAATGCTTTCCTATTCCAAATTACTTCCAACTAGAAATTGATAAAGTATTTTGATGGCAAAGGGATTTGTGAAAAGAAATATGACAGACCAAAATGATTGGAAATGGCCAAGCTCCAAACAAAAATTTATTTATTTGTAACATAAGCTCTACAAGTATGGTCTAAAATTTATAGACATAAGCTGACATAATCAAAATTACAAGCTAAAATAAATAAAAGTAGGTAGTAATAAAAGCAAAAGGTATAATGATAAAAACAAAGGCTAGAACGTTGAGTATAGAAACAACAGATAAGAACGTTAAGCACAAGAGATCTTCTTTTTAAAAGTATAAAAGAGTATGAAAAAAAGATTCCAGGGAGATGAGGCAGCTAAGCTCGTAATGGCTTGCATAACCAATGTGATGGTGCTCCACCTCTCAAAAGACAAGGAACTCAAAGGCCAATGCTTGAGAGAATATCCAAAAAGGAGATCTGAGAATAGAGAACTTTCTTTATGAAGGTAATGCAGGCAGCAACAGATGTCATGTCCATCTGACAAAGATTGAAGCACAGTAAAAAGAAGCCTATCAACCAAGCAAGGTGATTAGGTGTGCCAAATCTAAAAGACAAGTGTGTAATATCCCTATGCTGGTAGACTAGATTATTCATTTTATTGCAGTTTAAATGGGTCAAATGACCTAAAATTGAATAGTAAAGGGTACAAAAAACATACATAAAAATTTGGAATTTAAAAACTTAACATTAGATAAGAATAAAAGAATGCAACTAGATAATAACTTCAATATTTAACATGATGCAGGACAATCCTATTATTAAGTTCACTAGTTTTCATGGTCCGCTTGAAGATATTAATTATCTTTCAATTAATTAAGGTTTTTAGTTGAGATAAAAAAGTCAGTGTCACGAGCAGGATTCGAACCCACGACCTTCGGCTAGATACGACGCTACTCTACCACTTGAGCTATCATGACCTCGATCCTATTATTAGTTATCTTCCATAGGAACAAGGCCAAAGCCAAAATTCTTCTGACTTCCAAACCAAAGCCCAACCAAATCCCATCTTATAGTATAACGGAGCTCACTACTGTGCTGTATATTCATTTTGAACAGCAAATATTTAGATGCCCTCCGTCTTCCATCTCAATCATGAGCAATCCACTGTTTGATCTGAGTGACCAAACAATACTAACATACTCCAAATGGCAATGAACAGGTGATAGAAGAGAATTTTTATGGCAAATACAATTTTAATTGATATACTGGTAAACGCTTTATTTTTTGAACAGCTTCAAAGTGGTCAGGAAAATCGCAGTACTTATTAAATAATTCCATATATAAATACTCAATTAATCACACAATTTTTTCGAAATGAAAAGTTTGTGTCACAGGCGTGATTCGAACTCACGACTTTCAGCTAAATACGCTGCTGCTCTACCACTTTAGCTACCGTGACTTCGATCACCCATGGACAAACTTCTCATTTCAACTCCCTGTTTTATTCCAATTGTAAGCAAATTGCAGCTTCATATACAAACACTTTTTATTAACGATTGTACTACATGAGTGGGACTGTGTGTGATTCTAGATTAATACTAACTTTTTAATTATTTTATCAGCTTATGCTTAATTATAAACACTCAATTAATTATGCAGAATTTTTATGGGAAGTCGAAATGAGAAGCATGGGCGGTTGAAGTCACGCTAGCTCAAGTGGTAGATCAGCGGCTTATTTAGCCGAAAGTCGTGGGTTCGAATCCCGCCTATGACACAAATTTTTCATTTTGAAAAAATTGTGTATAGTTAATTGGGTATTTATATAATTAAGCATAAGCTAATAAAATAATTAAAAAATTAATATTAAACTAGAAGTCCCGCTAATGTTGTACAATCATTAATAAAAAGTGTGTCTATTTGTAGCCACGATTTGCTTACAATTGGAATAAAATGGGGAGTCGAAATGAGAAGTTTGTGGCATGGGTGATCGAAGTCACAGTAGCCCAAGTGGTAGTGCAGCGATTTAGCCAAAAGTCGTGGGTTCGAATCCCACCTGTCACAAATTTTTCATTTCAAAAAAATTGTGTGCAATTAATTGAGTATTTATATAATTAAGCATAAGCTGATAAAATAATTAAAAAGTTAGTATTAATTCCACATTTGTTTAGCGGTCATAATTGATCAAATTAATTTATGATTCTTCCTTCTTGAAGGTGGGATAACAGGTCATCTCAAAAAAACCAACCAGTTTTTCTTTCAATCCACAATGTTTTATTTTAATCCTTCCTCAGGTGAGTTAACGCAGTGGTTATTATTATTATATAATAATTAATAATAATATTATATTATTATATAACCACTGCGTTAATTCACCTGAGGAAGGATTAAAATAAATCTGAAATGTTGTGGATTGAAAGATTTTTTTTTTTTTATCCCACCTTCGAGAAGGAAAAATCATATCTTCATCTAATTAACTTTTTCATCTCAACCAAGACCTTAGATAAAAACGAATAATCAATTAAAGTATTTATTAAATTTTACTCCAAGGTCTGAGATGGAACTGACGTCGTCAATGGGAATTCGCGAACTTTTTCTTGGAAATGACCCTAATCTTATGACCTTATTTTCATTTAATTTAAGATTATTATTGTCGCATCAAGACCAGAAAGCGTCCAGATCCTCCTGCAGTAAAGTACATTGCTCGATGAGGATGTTGAGCAAAAGATTTTTAGGTCATCAGCTAAGAGTGAAAATCTGGAGCTGTCCTATCAGAAAATGTCAGAAACAGTACAGGCCCCAAATGAGATCCCTGGGGAACACCAGAGTAAATATAAAAGGGGACGATAATCCTTCCTTGAATCTTATTATAAAAGATAGATGAAAAGAATCGATCCACCCCAGAAGAGGGTTACCTACTCTAGCTTTACCAATTTTCACCAAGATTAAACGGTCCCCTTTGTTGAAGGCCTTATACAAATTAATCTGTCTTAAGAAATACACAGTAAAGCATACTTAATTTTACTGCAAAACAATGATACATTTATTAAAATCTATTAGCAAAGGGGTTACCAAAGTCTGAAGTAAAGTGTTTGATAACACAGAAATTCTTTGAAGCCTTACTTCTAATCTTTGAAATGTAATCACAAAAATTGTATTTATTATTGAAAATGAAACCTAAGTCATTTATTCCACCTACTTTATGGGAAGACCAAAAATGTGATACAATCAAGAATCACAACCCTTCAGCTTAGAAGACAGTGAATTTAATGCGCTTGTATTTTCAGTGACACCTAAATCATTATCCCAACACCAGATAAAGAAAGCATTTTCAGAGGAAACCCGTTTATCCGAACCCGTTTGTTAAAATATTTTTCATAAATTTTTTATAATCCTCAATGTATGTATATTAAATTTTTAAAATTGCATAATACAACTATGGGACCTTTAATTCGTCAAGGTCACCAAATCTCCCACTGGTCACATGATCAGAAAGGCCGACAGTCACGTTTTTGTTAATAAGAAAAAAAAATGAAAAAAGCTCTTGTTCGTATGTTGGCTTCCATTGAAAAGGTTTTTTATATATATATATTATATATTTTTTATTAGGTATTTTTTATGTATACATTTTTTAAGAAATGTGTGTCTAGACTTAAACAAAAATAAAACTAATAAAAGTTATCTATTACTTTAAATGTAGCTTGATATATGAATAAGTGTTCATTTTCATATGTGTATTTTTGCTTGTTTTTATGACAAAAACCATAAATTTTCGGATTATCCGTACTTTCAATCATCCAGACAAGTCCCAGTCCCTTCAAGTCTGGATAAACGGATTTCTACTGTAAATCTATTTGAAGTAAAATAAGATACAATGCACAACAGAGTAAATAATTTTAGATTGTCAGCGAAAAAAAGAGTACGAAGAAAAATAAAAAAATCAATGAAATATCATTGAAAAGAAGTAAAAAAGTATTAGTCCATGGTGAGAGCCCTAAACAGAATTTGAGATGAGAAAGAGATGGGATACATAACCCTGTAAGATCTCCCAGTCAGAAAGGAGCCAAGCCAACAAAGTAGCGTGTCACCTATACCATTTAGCTGAAGCTTTCTGAGAATCCGAAAATCAATCCTGTTGAAAGCATTCAAATTCTCAGTGTATTCTGTGGCTCATTCTAGATTTTAATTAATGTGTGGTGATTAGTGACCGTTAGTCGATGATTATTCGGAAATAGTGAGATGTGGTCTGGTGTGACGTAGGTTTCTGAAAAACATATATCACATCACACAAAACATTCATCACATTCTACACATCAAACATTTTTACATAGTCTAATTTTTCAACAATTTAGCTTTCCTTTTCCTAATTATCCCTGTCTATATAATCCTGAAAGGTGTTTTTTTCCCATCGTTGGCTCTTTTCACCTCAAAAATATACAAAAATGTCTTTCTATCCCAACTTCCTTCCTCACCCCTTCAAAATCCAACATATATGTACATAAAACAGCAATATCTCACTGGCACTCTTAAAACGACACACAAGAATGGCACAATTACGCAGAAAACAAACACTTTTATTGAATATAAAAAATATTTTTTTGCATTGTATAAGTTCACTTTCTTTCCAAATCCTACATGTATTTGTTAAATTTAAACAATGTTTGTAAATCCCAGGCCCTGAAGATGATCTCAATAAAGATCGAAACGTTGGCACCATAAAGAAAATGTTTTTCTGAAACCTAAATCACACCAGATCATATCTCACAATTTCCAAATAATCATTTTAATTAATCAAATCATTCTAAAAAAGAAAGTTGGTTGAAGCAGAGTGCACCTTGACAGAGCTGTTCAGGAATTATGTATAAAAGTATCATTTAAAAGGTCGGCAACAAGAGTCCAGAATGTTTGGGATTTAGGGTAAATTTAGCAATCTGGTGGTAATTAAGCATATCACTTATATTTTTTTATGGACGTGGATCAAAAAGTGGTTTTCCATTGATCGGGAAATATGCCTTGGTCAATAGAGGAGCCGAAAAGAATCCAAAATAGTAGACAAAGAGAAACAGATCCATTCTTAAGAAAGGTTTCAGGTAGGTGATCAGGACAAAGATACTGTCTTTGTGACACTTTAAGTCCACCACATGCAACTCATCAACAGAAATCGTAAGAAAAAAGATCAACAAGGAAGAGGCATAGAGGATGTAGAAATTTGTTTTGAGGTATTAAATCATGTTTTGTGTTTCTTCCAATTTATTGGTACATTTAAATCCTTTGAGAAAGAAAATAAAATTGTTATGTTTTATAACTCTTTTATTTTTAAATTAGATTACAAACGTAGTAATATTTAAGTGAGGTGTTAAGTGGGGGAAAAATAAAGGTAGATTTACAGTTTAAAAAAACAAAAAAGAAAACAAAGAAACAAAATTATACCCTTTGATACATATACATATAACCTAAATTTTTAGGAGGGTTTTCAGAAAAGGCGACCTTCTCGTCATTATATATTGTCCAGCGGCCATCCTTCAAAATATGGCAGACGTAGTGGCCAACCATTGTAGATGTACCCATGTGAGAGATGAATGCAATGAGGCGATATTCTGAAAAGCAAAAACGAAAGTTTTGGTTTTTTTGTTCAAGTTACAAATTTCAGCAGTATTAAGGTTTACTTGGATAGCCGTTTCTGAATTTCTCTGTAGTGCTACTCGCTGATTCTTCTGTGGAATCGTTTTTGTCCAATTCGGCTGCATGACTAAAAATCCAATCTGCAGCCCTTTCCAAGTTATTGTCAGTCGCTTTTAAAGCTTTGGTCACTTGGTTTTCAGTAAAACCCATGCCCATCAACATCTGGACAGCTTCTGGATTCGGGGTGAATTCTGTATGACAGCAAGGGCAAAAACTTATAGTCTATTGTACTCATAATATACTAAATTGAAATTTTTTAAGTTGACTCACTAGATTGAGCTGATGACATTTCGGTGCCTGGTGGAACAAAAGGGTCGGCGAAGTCTGAATCGCCTATATGCTCTAGAACCCAGTTGATGGCCAATTCTATTCCTTGATTTTTTGTGAAATACACTGCCTTCTTTGCAGCAGCTTCAGGGAAACCCTGTTCGACCAATTGTGCGATGACACCCTGGTCAAGAACAGGAGCAGGCACTGGATTGGAGAGTTCTGGTAAGAATTCCTCACCTGGCTGTGGTCCATTACCCTTCAAACATGACAGGTCGACTTCATCTGGCATCTCGACCGACACGTCCAACTTCACCGGCACCCAATCCTCTCTCATCATAAATTTCTTTAAATGTATTACTAAATAGTCAGGGAAGGTCGCCAGCCTAGTTGTCCTAAAAATTTACAAGTTCAACAATATATTATATTCAACTTATTCGATTTTTAATTTAATAACACCTGAACTTGGAAGATTGTATGAATAACTAATAAAAATCTTACTTTTTAGCGATAGTCTTCTCGCCTAAGGCAGAAGAGTAAAATTGTTCAACAATCTCAATTTGCCGAAATGCCTCCAAGCAAGCAGCAAATGGAATATGTGGCCTTACCACCTGAAAAAAAATTGTTATGAAATAAATAAATTACAAATGTGCATGTAATTACTTTGTTAAATTAAAAATTTAATTGGCTGAAGAAGAGCTTCAGAGGAGCTTGAAAAGGCCTTCTCAACCATGTGAAAAATAGATGAATGTACACAGTTCAATAAAAAATAAAACATGATCCAATGAAAAAGGGGAAACAACTAATAGATGATGACAAACAACTAAATATTATTATAATTTTTTTTTAAGTAATCCTACGGTTTGGGCTGGGGAAGTAAGATTTACTTGGTTTTTGTGAATTGTATGTTTAACTAATGGAAGAAATCTATAGGCCGCCTCGTGAAGTTGGGTGGTGAAGAAATGGTGAAAATACGGGAAAAACTTGATATTGTAAAAGTCTGATGACGTAGATAAGAAAAAATCAGTAAATCCAATTTTTGTGTTTTTATTCAAAATTCCCTACTTCTAGGGAGCAGAACAGAATTAAAAATCAGAAGGGGCAGGCTTGGAGAGTATGGAGGGTGGGACATCTGTTGCCAACCTAACTCAGTGATGATTTTATTCTGATGGATTGCAGCTGCGTGTGGCCTGAAACACAACGCTTCTATTCATTAGGGCAGGCCGTTTTTCCTTCAATTCTAACCTGACACTCTAATTGCGCACAATATAACTCTTCTGTAAGGGTTTGGTTGTGTAAAAATAATATAATAAATAATTCCTATGAAATCCCACCGAACAGACAATATATAATAGACAAGGGTGCAATCCAGCTCTTGATGTCGACAGCAGTGTTCCGTTCTTCTTGCGTCCTTCAGTGTTTAACATTTTTGTAAGGACCCACTTCTCATCCCGTTTGACCAAATAGGAAATAAAGTGATTTATTCCTATTCAGGCGTGAAACACAATAAGCCATGTGGTCTTCCTTGTCCCTGAGGAAAATTTCATGGTGAACCCAGAGAACGGATTCTTCTTTCTATTGTTGTGCGATGTGCCTCAAATGCTCTGCTAAGAATTGTCGTATCTACTGTTTTGATAGTTTTGAGAAATTGAGCTTTTAATTGTTTCATGCTGAATGTCCTCAGTTAAGTTGCCATATTTTTCCAAGTTTTTGGCCTAGGACTCAATTTTTTATAACCCTAAAAGCTTTTTTATTATGATTTATAACTTATTTATCAATTCACTCTTATTTATGAGTTTTTTTTTATTTTAAAAAGATGTTACGTTAAATTTTACTAGCAAAGATTTGCGATAATTACTTACAAAAAAGAACGAAAAGAAAGTTTTTTTAATACAAATATATGTTGATTTTTCATTATAATTTCTTTTGCAATGCACTAATAACATAACACTTCTTAAATTCACTAGTTTCGTGGTCCGCTTGACCAATTGATATCTTACAATTAATTAAGGTTTTCAGTTGAGATAAAAAAGTCAATGGCACAAGTGGGATTCGAACCCACGATCTTCGGCTTGAAAAAAAAAAAAAATTGGATACTGCATTTCTTCTTAGACATCATTAATAAGTCGGTGATTTTAAGCTTGTGAGGCATTCCGTGAGGCGTCAAGTTGATTTGTCTCTCTCCATTATGAAAACATCAGTTCATGACTGTGTTATTTTCACCCTAAATTCCACATAAATTTCGACAGACAACTGCTGCTCTATGCCCAAGATCGGACTCATATCACAAGCAATGCCTCAAATAAGTTTTAACCATTTCCATGGTGCAGTTAATTTTACACTGGCTTTTGAGATCAATTATCCCTTTCTTAACAATCTCAATAGGGTTTTTCATACCCTAGAGCTAACAGGGCCAGCAGGTAATAAAAGATCGCCTTTATAAGCATGAAAATCAAAATTTGAAAAACCAGAAACACCCAATATTAATTTGAACACCAACGAAGAATTACTATTACTATTATAGAATACTATTATAGCTGCTAAGGAAAGGGCCAGATTGTAAGATAAGTTATTGATAAGTTCTTAATACCTCATTGGATTCTAGTTTTTCTCCATTGGCCTTTTTTGTATTGTAGATTTCGACTTCTTCCTTATTGACCGCTGCTGTTAAGGGGATGGGAAGTGGCAGGCAATATTCCGTCCTATGGGTGTATTTGACCTTTTTTGTTGCGCCGCATTCTATCCTATCCTCGACTTGAAGTTTGAATGCTTCAGTTGGGTCTGTCGAACCTCTTGAGTTCCTCTAAAAACAGAAATTAAATCATATCACTTTTTTTAAAAAAAATTTATAAATAATAATTACTTGGACGGTTGTGAGCAGGTGGAGGAAGAATTCGTGTACATCCTGTTGATGTTTGGTTGAAAAGTCAGGATGCCCTCTTCCAATCAGATACTTGAACATGTGAGGTGAAGGAGGAGGGACGATTTTCTTTTCAGGTCCTTCTGGAGGTGGATGTGAATATCTCCCTGATAAAAGACCAGTTGCAAACTTTGCCCTAATAAATAAACAGTTAAGACATTAAAATAAATGAAAGTACAAATAATTTTGCTTTTAAACTTACATCTGAACATTAAAATCGACTGCTGGCTCGGCTGAATTTCTAAATATTTCATCAGCTTTTTTATAGTACCTAAAACAGAAATTTATTGCCTTCAATCTATCATAATAAGTTAGCCAATGATTTATATGAAACAGTGCCCAATTAAATAATTTAATTAATAAAGTAATTACAACATATACAACATACTTGTTTATAAAATCTGGAATTTGAAAAATGATTTGCATTACAGAATTTAAATAACAAGAATTTCCAAGATTCAAGAGCCCAGTGTAGCCAGGTCCATAAGCTGGTTTGAGTTGAGCAACGGCTTCTTGTAGAGCAAACCATTCGTTATATTTCTGATTCAGGTCCAGTTCCAACTCAGCTACACTTTTGTCAGTCTGAAAACATTTAACAGTAAACAAGCAAACTTTAATTACCATCAGAAAGGTTGTTGTTAAGAATAAGACCTTTTCCATGTTTTGGATATTGATCCCAAAATGCGCGAGGTGCTGAATGAGGTAAGGGTCTTCAACAAGGTCGTCATCGATATAACTGAATACATCCCCCTTGCCCTCTCTCGTAATGGTGCCGAGTTTGACTGCTAGTGGATATCCTGTTTCTTTGAAATGCTGCAGTGCATGTTCATTACCACCGCTGCCGTCGAAGTACTTTCTTCCACACAGGATGGATCCGTCCGTCAAATTGAGCCATAGATTTTTTTCCATGTCGCACTTCTCACACTTCCAGCCACTTGGAGGTACTTTCTTCCCATTGTCAAGTTGTTTTAGTGATGCTGCATGCCTGTATATTATAAAAATATAATTTCGTTAACTTATTGTTTTATTAGTTCATACTTATTATAATGTTCATATTAATGAATGTAAATTTTATTCTCTAATGAAATTTTATAATTTGAATATACACAAAACAAATGTTTCTGTCTGGGCTTTTTTTTATTCTTTTAAATTTGGTACATTTGATGGTATAATAATTTTTTTAATATTTTAATATATTAATACTATATTAAAAAAGGCATTAATCAGATTAACAAAAAAAATTCCTTACTGTGAAACTTGGCGGACTTCACCATCCCAGACTGGGAGGTCAAGCTCAGCCATCCTTGCTGCTGTTTCTGCCTCTAAAATTGCTTCTACTGAATTGATCACCTTTACAACAAACAGAACAAACAATAAGACTTGTTTTTATCACGAAATTGATTCAAATGGCAACATACGACTTGTGGCAGCTGGTCACAAGGCCACTGGATTTCCGTGAACTTCGGTAAGACGACAATCTTGTAAACCTCATTTGTCTCGACGTTCTTCTTGTCAACATCAAAACCACCCTCAACTCCGATGGCCAACTTGGTCACCTTCCTCTCGGGACCATCCCCCTGCACAGTTTCTTTCTACAAAACATGCAGTGTCACTTTTATAATTTTATAATAACGTCAAACTAATCTTTGCTATTAAGGTGATTAAAAAATAAGACCATTTGAAGAGTTAAAATGGGATTTATTTCAAATAGTTTTCAATAAAAGAAATATAGTTGTTAATGATGGTAATTGCCATCTTCTCAATTTCCTGGTGGTACCAATCCTGGGACTTGGACTGTTTTCTACTTCTACCACTTATTTTTAGTTAGTCCCTTAGTTTTTATGCGAATAACTTGAGAACGCCTGTTCCAAATTAAAATCAATTTGCACAATTGAATTTTAAAACTTTTAAAAAAGTACATTCATACATAGGTTTCTATTTGAAGTAGTTAAGTTGATACTCAAATCCATTATCTTGAAAAGTTAGATCAAAACTTTTTCGCTCATGAAAAACTAATTAAAAAATAAAAGTTTAAATATTGGGTTGTCCGGAAAATAATGCAGGATTTTGGTATTAAACAAAAAAAAAGAAACTAGTTACTTTAAAGCAATGTTCTTTAATCAAAATAATNATGAGTAATCCTGTAAACGTAAACAGAATATTTTATATAGATTTTTTTTAATGAAAACTTAAAATCCTGCATTATTTTCCGGACAACCCAATAGAAGTAGTAGAATGTAATTTTTGTAGGCCGACAAACATCACGAAGTCACCACCAGCTCTCTTTGGTTTAAACAGATTTTTTTGTCACATCTTTGTCACTGACTCTCTCATCTTTTTTTTTTCTCCTGTCTTCTTAACTTGCTAACAACTTGAACATACATCAGGTCGAGAAATGACTATTAAAAGAACAAGAAAGCACAAACATAACACATAAAGATTTTCATGCTTCCCAATTCCCCCAGAAACACCACTAATGACGAGAACCACTTCAATGCCCTGGTGAAGAGCAGCAGACAATGCCCCCAAAAACATGCCACGGTCCTCAGTGAGATAGCTTGAGATCACATCATTGGATATTCCGACAATCCCGGTATCCTTTCACCACCCATAACATGGCACATTTACTCTCTCGGAGTACTCGATATTCTTTGGGGCCAGTTTATTCCCTCCATTCATGCCAATAAATTACTTTCACTCTCCAAACACACTCTCACCCCAGAGTCTCAACATTCCTCAGGGTGGAGAATAATCTCATTCTCACTCATAATTTACATTCACACCAACACATACTATATACATTTAAAAACTTACATCCCTGAGGTACTGAAACAGTGATCCGTGCCCTTTCCTGTAACCCCCCCCCCCCAAACAAAACAATAAAATTATCTTTTTCGACATAAAATGACCTGCTGGGTTGATTGGAACAAGAATTAGGCTCCAAAGAGAAAAACGAAAAAAAAAAATTTTTTTGAAAAAAGAGCATGCATAGGTCAGCAGTAACGTAGGTCATCCTGTAGGCATCTAGATTTACGCATTGTAAAATATGCTCAATGCTTAATCTTTTCATACATAATGGGCATCGACAGACCTTAACCTGGTAAATATAGCCATCTCCCTTCTTGACCCAACCTCCGTGGACCAATTTTGAAATTGTGAATTCAATCAATAAATTAACTCCTAAGCAGATTTTGTATTATTTTGGAACAAACTTAAACTCTCATTTGCCTTCGAAGAAAGAAATTATGTGCTTTAAATACTAAAGTGCTGAATTAAGTCTTTATGGGTTTTACATTAATGTATCATAACCGTTTTGTTACTTACTTAACAAGTTTCTCTGCAAAGTATATTCTGTTGTTTCCAATCACCTGCAACATCTTTGTACCAGTAATTCAACTCCCCTTCAATACTAAGAAGACTCTTTGGAAGCGAATTTAAACAATTTTTTTTCACTTCCAAGTTGTCAGTTTTTAAAATGTATTTTTCTGCTACAACCAAGTGGGCATGAAGTGAGAGAAGGAATACAAGAGCAAAGCACATGTAGCCAAGCTTTTCATCTATTTAAAGGTTCGTCAGGGCAACCTGACCTTAAAATATAGGTCAAAAGCTTGGCAGTAACGACTAAAGTTGCTTTCTTCTTCAAGACCCTACCTTGATCCAGTGGTCATAAGAGAAAAAATGGTTGATATTTCTAAAATTGAAAACAGAAATTTGTCAGAACTGACATGACATACAACAGAAAGCACACACTTTGAGTATACAAATACTTTGATTATACCTAAAAATTTTACATTGTGTACATCATAGTATTAATTCATATTCACATCTTACATTTATTTGTATAATTTAAACAATGTTTGTAAACCCCAGGCCCTGAAGATGATCTCAATAAAGATCGAAACGTTGGCACAATAAAGAAAATGTTTTTCTAAACCTACATCAAAAAGACGGCATCTCATGATCTCTAAAGAGATATTTCTAATCCATTATATTTCGTGATCTATTTATTACTTCTTTCAATTAATCTTTTTATGTACAGTTTTGTTTGAAATGAAATCCCGCTAATGGCACTAACTTTTTTTTCATTTCAACCAAAACCTTACATAAAAAGATTGATATTTTTAATGTATGGTGATTAGTGTCGGTCAGTCCATGATTATTCGGAGATCATGAGATGCGGTCTGGTGTGACGTAGGTTTGAGAAAAACAATTGCTTTATCGTACGAACGTTTCAATCTTTATTGAGATCATCTTCAGGGCCTGGGTTTTACAAACATTGTTTAAATTTAACAAATACTTGTACGATGTGGAAAAAAGTGAATTTATACAATGTAAAAAAAATATTTTTTATATTTAATCTAATTTCCCATTGTCGGCTTCTTTGAGGTGAAAGGAGCCGACAATGGGTAATTTGATTAAATATAAAAAATTAAAAAAAACTCCTTATATAAAAATGTCTTTCTATCCCGACTTCCTCACCCCTTCAAAATCCAACATATATACATAAAACATCAATATCTCACTGGCACTCTCAACACGGCACACAAGAATGGCTCAATTACGCAGAAAACAAACACTTTGAGTGAGAAGAAATACATTGATTGAATAAAAAAAATATTCTTTTGCATTGTATAAATTCACTTTCTTTCCACATCCAACGTGTATTTGTTAAATTTAAACCATGTTTGTAAATCCCAGGCCCTGAAGATGTTCCCAATAAAGATTGAAACGTTGGCATGATGAAATGTTTTTCTAAAACTTACATCACACCAGATCGCATCTCACGATCTCTAAAGAGATATTTCTAATTAATTAAGTTTTTAGTTGAGATAAAAAAGTCAGTGTCACGAGCGGGATTCGAACCCACGATCTTCAGCTAGATACGCTATTAGATATTTGAAAAATGGCAAAAAGGAGGGAAAATTCAAAAGGTGAGGTTGAGATAGGAAGTTAGTGTGCGAGTGGATCAAGTCACGATAGTTCAAGTGGTAGAGCAGCGGCGTATCAAGCCGAAGATCGTGGGTTCGAATCCCGCTCGTGACACGGACTTTTTATCTCAACTAAAAACTTAATTAATTGAAATATATTAATTGGTCAAGTGGACCACTAAAACTAGTGGTTATTTCTAATATTTTAACCAGAAATTCGTCAGACATGACAAAAGGCAAAACAACTAAACCGTTGGCCTGGTTCGAAAGTCAAGACCCAAATTCAAATTATGCAATATACCAATTTAGAATAGAAGGATTTTCTCCCCCTCATCACCCATCGTTCAAATATCTGCCAAATAAAAAGTAAAAAAAGGAGCAAATGTTTAATTATCCAGCATACTTAGCAAATTTAATCGGTTTTGACAATCTAACAGACCGACTATATTATAAGTTTACAGTGAAAATGTAAATTCCAAGTAGGATTTTAGGAATTTTGTGGCGGAAATTTGAAGTACGTAGTTAACTGGAATGATCAAAAATGGTTGTATACCGGCTAATTAATGTTAGAAGATCAGGGAAGTTAGTAAATTATGTTTGTCGAAAAGAAATACCTCAATCCTGTCACGTTTGATGTGTAGAAAGATTCCATTCCCGGTCTTCTGGTAATGCCTGAGTACATGGTCTTTCCCGAGGCCGAGGAACGTGTTGAGGCAGACGTAAAGGCCGGTCGGCGTGTCCTGGGATTTTGTCAATTATAAAACGTACAAAATTGAAGATATTTGCGAGGAGGGCGTAACAGTGTTACAACCTCCGAGGATGTGCATGCGACTTACTGGGGTGTCGAAGGAAAAGACGCATTCGTCTTTGTAGACGCGGGTCTCCTTGCCCGGGATCCTCACCTTGGGCAGGTGGGCCTCCAAGCCGAAAACGTCCCCGTCGCTCATCCCTGGTGGAAAATGTTCGGTCCGAAGGCGAAGGCGGTCCGGCACAGGTTACTGCGAGGAGGGAAGCCTGGTAAGGTTAAGACGCGAAACCGGCTCGGACGATCTTACGAAATATATCGATATATCGAGCGGGGAGTCACACTGTGACCGCGAATCGACGGACGTGACAATCCTTCCTTTCAACCCGCCAAACAACGACATTCAGTTATACCGACGAATAATTTATTTATCTATAATTGAAAAACGGTTAAGATAACATAAAAATTTAAAAAATGTGTTTTGGTCGATAAATTATCATCTATAACCTTGAAACACGACGTACGATCAGGTAAGGATGAATTTGAAAATTTTAGCATTATTTATTTATTAATATAAACTGCTCAAAAATGAATATGGATTTTGCCTATTTTATAATATTTACTTTCTCTAGCATTTTTATTATAAATTGCACCAGACCGCATCTCACGATTTCTGAATAATTATCGATTAACGGTCACTAATCACCACACATTATAAATTGCATTAAAATTCATTAGAAATTATTATATTTTTTACTGAAGTTAACTTTAATTAAGTGATTTTGAAAAATACTAAAGTAAAAGGTTTTAATTCCATAATTTTATTTATTGGACACAATAATTGCTTGAAACAATTTATACCGTGTGTAATGTCCTCTGTTAGGTAAAACCTCTCTGCACCTGTTAGGCATACAGGTACTTTGACATAAATAAGTTGCCATTAAATTCATAGGGAATTTCACTCCGTAGGTGTTACAATGCTGCACTCAGTTGTTGCAGGTCAACTGGCTGCGGATGGGGATCGACGCATCCCACATGTGATCAATGGGATTTGACAATGGAGAAAGGGGCAGATGGGAAATTTCCCACAACTCTGCCACTATGAGGTCTGGCATTGTCATCCGGAAATTGAAAATCCCTGTTTTGAGGGATGTACCCTCGATAATTTCTTGGACATAAAGGACTGTCATGAGATTGCCTTCAATAGTATGGAGTCCAGTTCGTCCTCCAGTGCAAATCCCAGCTCATTACATCGCCTCCTTCAAACTTAACTGAAGGAAGCACTATCAGGGGTACACATCCCCGGTTCTCAATAGAGTGCCTGTTATCACTATACAGACAGAAATGCAACTGATCAGTAAACATAACAGCATTCCAATTGTTGTTCTCTTCTAGGCGCTCGCACCATATTCTCCTGAGTTGCTAGTGGTGGGCTGTTGCTGCAGGCTTTCTCTTAGGGCCATATTATGTCCCTAGTAATCGTTTGTGTGGCCAACTTCCCACAAACGATTACTAATCGTGACAATATTTCTATCCTCCCTTAGCATTGTAATGCGCTGAGATCCACTACAACCAGACCTCCTATTGGCACTTCCAGTCTCTCAGAATCGAGCTAAAGCCTGGGAGATCTCGCTCTGAGAAACGCCAACTGCCGCAACAATATCCACCTACCGGTGACCTCGATCACTCGTTCTCACAATAACGTTGTCAACTTCTTTTTTAAGATGATGTCTTTCCTTGGTTAAAGAGGACAACTGGATTAAAATGGAGAAAAGACAAGAAAAGGTGTTTGTTTACAAAATGAGTAATCTTCATTTTTTCTATTCGTAAGTAAATTTGTTATTAAAAATTAGCATTAACAAAAATTTTCTTTTTGGTTTGTATTTTCTATTTTGCTTTATCTAACTAACAAGAATATATCAATTAATTTAATTAAAATTATTAGAGTAAGAATAAATTACAAATATCTCTTATTCATTTTTGACAATTTAGATGGGCAAGAATCCCATTTACAAATATACAACAACAATCACAAGTCTAAAGTTATAAAAATGCTAAGACAAAATTCATATAAACTAGAAAAAAAATACAAACATATATTTTATTTATTTATTTATTTTAAAGGTTCAAATAGGGCTTTAAGCCCCCTTACATGTACATATATTAGAAATAAATTTAGTTTTATAACCATATTAAAATAATAATAACAGCAATAATAATAAAACATTGTAAAATTTACAAAACAATAATGACAGTACTGTGTGTGTCGTTCACGACTTCAACAAATAATGACAGTAATATATTCTTTAAAATATTAATTACATATTTATAATCAAATGTTGAAACTTCATTACAAAAGAGAACAAAGGAAATGGGGGGCGTCGGTGGCCGCAACGGTTTAGGCGTTGACATAGCACTCATCCCTGTAAGGTAAAGGTCCTGGGTTCGAATCCAGCGGCCCTGCATTCGCACCCGACATACTTACAAATGGGCTTTTTTTCAAAAACACCTGCACCCTGAGGGTTTTATATAACCTCTGCTGTTGCGAACCCTTGTGAAAAAAAACAACAAAGGAAATGGGAAAAAGAAGAGGGAAGAAAAGGAGATGATTCATGTAGGTTTTAAAAGTCAGATGCCGTGGTCCTGAAAGAAGCCAGTCAGGAAGTAGAACTGCTTCCCAGGGAAGGAAATTCCATAATCTTGTCCCTGCAGTTCTGAAGGATAAGGCTAAATGTTTACAGTGTTGAAGGCTTGAGATAAGATTGGCACATTTGCATGAGGAATGAAGGAAAAATGTTTTTTGAAAGTTTATAAGTGTTTAGAATGTTAAGGTTGCTGAAAACATTAATATAGGAAGAAATATGATATCTTGGTTTAAGATCATAACAGTATAGTGCAGGAATGATAAGCAATTTGAAGGTGATGAGCAGATTGAGAGTCTAAAGAATGTGAAAAATTAGCACTACAGCTGGAGAGTAAAAAATATTATGGATTTAACAAGGAGAACTCTAGTTTTCTATGGAGTAAAAAAACCTAAGGGGTTGAAGAGAATGGAGGCTTGAGTAGACCGTTTTAATAATAGAGCTCACATTTTGGAGTTAAAAATAACGCTGAGATTTTTAATTTCAGGATAAAAATTAATATATGAGGAGGATATATTCAATCTGTATTAATAGGTTTATTGGGAATTAATATGGATTGGGATTTGTTAGGTTTTAAAAGAATGCTGTTATTATTTGACCACTGATTGAGAGAAGGAATATTACGATTGAGCAGATAGATAGCTTTAGAGATGTTGCTTGTAGAACATTGAATGTAAAGCTGAGTGTCATCAGCATAATAGGGAGAAATTAAGAACTAATGAAGGTCATTTAGAAACACAGAAAACAGTAAGGATCCAAGAATAGAGCCTTGGGGTACATCAGCTTAAATTGAGAGAGAAGAGGAGATAGAATATATATTACATAAACATATTTTTTAAAAAAGCTTATACCTATATAAGAATATATCCTCCTCTTTGGTCAGGATTTCAACTTTTGCATTGCCTGTAAGCCCTGAATGCCCAGGGACCCTTAAGAGGAGAGAAATAAAAAAATATATTTACTAGTAGTATGCTTATTATTAACAGTTAAAATTTAAAAAAAGTGGTATCAATTGCTTCTTTTATCTTGGTTTTTCTAACTATTTCACATTTTCTCCAAATTGTTAAAATAGGAGAATATCCATCTGTGCCAATTAAGGTATCTTCTGTGTTCCTCAAGGTGCTTATCTCTCCCCACTATCATTCATTATTTGTATTAGTGTGTGTGGTGTTTAATGACCGTAATGATTATTGGGAGATCGTGAGATGCGTTCTGGTGTGATGTAGGTTTAGAAAAGCATTTTCTTTATCGTGCCAATGTTTCGATCTTTATTGAGATCATCTTCAGGGCTCAAAGTGTTTGTTTTCTGTGTAGATGTGTTATTATTGTGTGTCGCACTCTCAACAACACGAATATCATTGTAAATAACACCATATTATGTGTAAACATTGTAATGATTGTTGTTAGCATGATGAGCTCTTTTTATGTGTAATTACTTGTAATACATTTATACATTTTTGTATGTGGTGGTATCCATATATAAATAAATACCATAGTGAAGTAAGTAATGATATTTTTGAGTTTGGACTGAGAGTGGAAGGGGTGAAATTGAAAGACATTAGGCTTAACAATTGGGGGTTATTCATTTTGCATTTTGCTTCATTTTTTCATTTGCTAAAATATGATGAATTAACTTAATTAACATTTAAAAAAATGGTATCACAAAGCATTTATCCAAATTAAGTCCATTTTTTGAGCACCAATCAATAAAATTAGAAAAAGTGGTTTGAAGTATTTTTGTGTCATTATCATTATTAATTACATGGTACAGCTTGACAACCTCAGCAAAGAGCAAGAAGTTTATATTCTGAGGGAGAACTTCTGAAGACAAGGAATTCTTCATTTTTACTTGAAGCTATCTTCTTATTTGTATGAAACCACAACAAATTGGTCTGTGGAGGCTCTGAATATTAAATTTTGATAAAAGCAGATTAAATTGGCACAATCAAATGCCTTACTGAGGTCCGTGTAAATACAACAATTTGTTTATTGCAGGAAAAAGCATTTAATATAAAATTTTCCAACAGCAGGAGTTTTGAGGTGGTTGATTTGTTAGGTTGAATACCATGTTGTTAAAAAAACTGGAAATTTCAAAAACAAATAAAAATGCTTTTAAAAAAATGTTGTTCCCTTTCATATGGAGGATTTCCACCTCTAGCATGAATCACGTCTATTAAACACCTTTACATTCCTTTGGAAAAGATTTCTGATAAAATCCTGAGAAATTGCTTCCCATTCATCATGAACAGCCATTTCCAACTCTTCTAGGATGTTAGGACCTGGGTTTCGCCGTCATACTCTGTGCTTATGTTGGTCCCAAATTAGTCCGATTGAGTTCACATCTGGATTTTGAGCTAGCCACATGAAGAACTCAATTTCAACCTCATTCAGGTAGTCATCCACAATGGGTGCTCTATGGGGGCCTCGCATTATCCTGCTTTAGCAAGACTCACTCACCTTGTGGGGGGGGGGCAAATGGCACTACATGTTCTTCGATTATGTCTTGTAAGTACCTCTGTGAAGTTAGAGATCTTCCTCACACACAACCAATTTGGTGCGGGCGTTCAAGGAGATGCAATCCTAGAACATGAATGACCCATCATGGAATGCCACCTGGGGAACCATACAATATGTGGCATACCTTTCTCTTGAGGATCTTTATGAAATTACGTCCATCTGAAGATGCGAGGCCAACTCTCACCACATCTTCGTCTGTAGACCTAGGTCGACCTTTCTAGTGTGGAATTCAAACTTTGTAAAACATCCCTTGGCCGCCGTGTATGTCTCTTGCAGTTACAGTGTCAGTACTTTTCAGTACTAATACTGTAATGCATTCTATTTCTTTATTATTGTATTTTTTTTTTTCTTTAATCAGTGGCCACCCACTGAAGTGAGGGCAGGTTTTCCGTCCTGAATACGAGAAAAACGAAAAAAAAAAAACAGTCTTACTCGCTCCATATATGAAAAACTATGTTGAACAATGGCATTTGCCTTTTTTTAGTTTAAAAATTAAAAAAAAAAAAAATGGAAAAAACTGATAACTGAATGTTGTAAAACTGGCTCTTGAAATACTGTTAAACTGATGCAGTGGACATGCTGTTTTATGAATTGGAGTCAAATCTTAATTTTAATACTAACCATCTCTCAATAAGGTTCAAGGAAGACAACAAAATTAAAATATTTATAAATAATTTTTATTATCACCGATAATAAAGGTTGGCACATTATCGTTACAAAATAGATGTGCTATCACTTTTTGCATTTCTTTCCAAATGGGAAAGCCTATCCTAAGATTTTATCATAACAACTCAAGGACAGTCGTCTCATTAAAAATATTATATACAAAGAGCGGAAAATCAAAATACTAATTACATATTTATAACGATATACATAAGTACAGTCTTTTTAAATATAGTTTATAGATATTACAAAAATATGTTATATTACAAAAGGAAGAAGTGTTTACACCTATGTACAATATGAACAAGTTACAAAATATCACTTTAAAAATCAAAATAGTAGTGCACAAAATTAAAACTCCTACAAAACAACGAATTGGCTGGGTCCTCAAACGAAAACAATAAAGCGACGAATAAAATTGCAAATTTGCCAAACATTAGCATTCATGACTAGCACAAACATCTGACTTGGACTTAACAAGGAAAACTCTCTCCTAGGGTAAAACATCCTTGGAGCTCATTCAGATCATCAAAGTTAAAAATGAATCAGTTTTAGGCACTTGATTTTTTCAAAACATTAAAAATCTACGAATACACTTTGCGCTAAATTCAGCTCTTTTTCGATTTTTTTAAAACTTAAAATCAATTTAAACCCTTAATTTACAACGTATTTGGCAATTTGTGTTCGAGGAAAAAACTCGTTGCCCATCATTGGTGGTTGGGCCAACCCCAGACTAGAGGTTTACTGTAGAGTTGCTTGTAGTGGGCGGCGTCGACGCCGGCGGGAGGCAGCAGCGGTTGGTAGAGATTGCAAGGCGCCCGGTTGGACACTTTATGCAAGTGGAAGTCGATTAGGTCGGGGCTGCGATTCAGCTTGTCGTTGGCCTCGTTCTTCTCCTGTGGGGCCGGCTTCTCGCCCTCCGGCATGCTGCAGTCATTTTGCCGGTAGAGTAGCGGCAGCTTCTTCACAGCCGGATTCATATTGGTGTCCGCCGATGGATTGTGGGCCACCACTGACAGCAAGTTCGGCGAGCCGCCTCCTTTCCCCCTGGAAAAAGTAAAAGCACGGTGAGTCTCTTTATGAAAAAAGCATGGGTGGCGGTGTATACCTGAGCTTGGGCGGATGCGTCTGAGGATCTGTTTTCAGGATCTTCACAGCGAGAAGGATGAGCATGAGCAGAATGAGAGCCCCACAGATCGGCACGGCTATCGTCGCCGCTTTGAACCACACCTCGTGGCTGCTGTAACCCGGCCTGCGGGACGTTGGACCTTTCAGCATCTGTGCTTCGTCATTGTTCGCGTGGACTGCTGCGACCGCTGGCAAAATGCAACAATTTCCATTAGTAAGAAATAAAGACAAGAGATTCACATCATTAAAAATACATTTACTTGATATATGTTAAAAACTATTCATGCATAGAATCTTTAATCTTTAATCATAATTTTTTTTTAAATACTGGAATTAGAACCGGTAGTGTGGCAAACAAGAGTTGGACGCGCACCATAACAACTGGGCCTCAGAAGTCCCTAGTTACTACTTTCTTATCGTTATTACAATTACTAATTAATTGGAAATACCAACATCAATAGCTTTAATCGAGTTAACATAATCATTTCTTATTGTAAAATTTGTCAATTGCAAAGAAAGCAACACCTAGACGATTTTAATCATAAGCGGCATATGAACATGATTCATAAGGTTTTCTACGACGGCTAGGGCTTCTGTATGGATGATTATTGTTACATATTATGAGCCACAGGTTGTCATTTCGTGAGAAAACCACTTTCAGACTGCAATAGCTTTCTCGCTAATAACTCAGAAGTAAAAATGCAAGATGAATATTTAATATGATAGATAATCAGAGATATGAAATAAGCTGATGGAATGATATTTGAACTTTCACCCCCGAAGGAACTCCCTGATGTACTGACCCTAGGGTTGGTTAGGGATCACCGGACCCTAGGATCTCGGGGGTTCACCTACCCAGTGATGCTGCTGGGTCGCCAGTATCCCCCTTAAACCAGATGCCCAGGAGATCGTCGCTTCCCAACCTACGGGGTGAGATCCAACTGAGGCTTTCGAAAGCTAGGCCATTTCAGCCCCAACATATGCAAATTATAATCTGTCTAAAACTAACTTCTATAATACAATCGCACAAATGTTAAGATATATGGTGTATTATATTTCGAAACGCTGCTGTATAAGAAGATGAATAAGGTGTAACGCCAAGTATATAGTTGTTGTTTGTTATATAATATGCTAATAAGACAGTTAAGTGAAATAGTTGCAGAGAATTAAAAAATTCTACAAGAAAAGTTTAATACCTAATACTGCTGGATTAAGCAATTCTATAAGAGTAGAGGCAGTAAGAGGCAATTCTATTATTTTATTGTAAAATTTTATAATGACAGAGCTGGTCGAATTGCGATTTAAAAATTTACAAGGATCCAATCGGGCCATAAATATTTTCAATACAGATCTTTGTACCTTCATGTATGAGATATGTGTTATTTATTGGAACGAATGTATTTATTTGCATGAACGGAGGGGGTATATTAACAATTACCACGAGGAATATCGAATACTCTGGGGTAGTGTGAATGCTAACCGGACTAACATGTTTTTATCTTATTTCTGAGTTTCTGTTTATTTGGGTTATTTTATACACAATTAAAGAGGCTCAGAGGGGTTCAGAGAGGCTAGCAGTAGGATAAAGAAAAGAGAGAGTCGGTTACCGTTATATCGTAAAGCATCATAACTTGACTGGAGAAACAGTAAAAAAATTAGTAGGATTAAAGCGCGAGAAAGATCAGAGATGAAATGTAAAGCTAAGAAAGAGAGAACAGGCGATGACCAATGTTGTTTGCCGGCCCTAAAACCTACAAAAGTCGTACAAGTCGGTCCATTTGTTATCGCTAATTGTTTGCTAAAAATATTTATCAGATCGAGTATTTAGCAGAAAGGCGACATAACCATTGCGCTTTGCACACAGCTAAAGAAAAATGTAATAGAACCAAACAGAAAAATTAATATAATTATGAAACATCAAATCCATTTGTACTCCCAATAATAACAGGCACTTATTACCCAGTGATTTTCTCAGCTAAGCTTTGAAAGTTAGTAATTTCATCCTGAAAACCGGATTGTGGCATCTTTTTCATAAATATAATTGTGAACGCCCGAAACGCGCCGATCAAAAATTATACCGAACCGCTCCATGGATTTTCGCTCTTGATGGCTTAAACGAAAGCCCTGATTTCAAACTTCGTAAGTCTCTGGGCCGTTGTGTACGTCTTTCCTCATTGCAGTTGCAGTTACATTATTTTTTAGTACTAATATTGTTGTGTTATTGTGTATTATATTTTTCAGAACACGAGAAAAACGAAAAAAGCAGTCTCACTCCGTGTACGACAAACTATGTTGAACGAAAACTCCATACCAGAGCACAGTTTAAGTTCAATGGATGTTAGATGTGCGCACTGCAACGCTAAACACTTTGAGGCCGAGAAAACAGCGGTCATTTTAACTTCTGCTGCTACAATGGTCTTATTTCACTGCCAGAGCCACAAATCAGTTTGGAGTTACAGGAACTTTTCCTTAATTGTCCAAATTTTATGAACAATATAGAACAATATACGGAATTACAACCTGGCCTCTTTTTCTGCCATAAGGAAAAAATTCAAGGAGTTGGATTTTGAAAATACCAGGACACATTTACAGAATTATATCGGATTTATTGCCACGTGAAGGTGATGTCATATGGTCATTTATATTTTATTGACTTCTTCAAAGCTGAAGACGTGCGTTCAAGACGCCCAGAAAACAAAAAACTAGACCTTGCAGTTTTGACAGCTCTTAGGGGCATTTTGGCTAAACCTGGTTAAAACTTATGCTGAACCTGAAGCATACACGACTGCAGCTGAAACAATTCCTGTAAGTAAATAAATTTTACAATAATACCTATTCGTTACATTCAGTGTTCCATTCAAAATGAACAGAAGAGCACGTTTTTCCGATCAACAGCGAGTGCTTTATTGATAGTTGTATTGCGCGTCGTGCAGTCGAGTTGTACTCCCAGAAATTTCCTTATCGCCCCAGAGTAAACCACAAATGTCATTAGAGGTGATCTTTAATTCATCAGTCCATAGGGAAGTACGTTTTCTTCAGCCTTCCAAATCGATATTTGTGCAAGGAACGTAGGACGCCTGTCATAATCAAAGTGCCGAAGCCCCTGGACAAGGTGAGAGCAATACGGCTTAGAATTGTAAGTCCAAATTTTATTTTTTGGAAAATCTAAAACCCTTCCAGCATTTCGGAGAGAGGAATTTGGATTTGCGCGAACTACAGTAAAATATTGGCCATAACTATGTCATTTATTGACAAATTTCAAATCCGATTCACTATTGTTTTCAGCGTAAAACAACCTTTAAAATGCTTGTCAGGATGTATAAGGTCGTATTTGAAATTTTGAAGTTGAACTGGGCCTGAGGTCCCCTGAATATTTTTACTCCCAAAAAGGTAAAAATTTAAAACTAGACTAAAAAATATTATACACTTATTTTTTGATTTTTTGATAGATTGATTTTTGATCATTCGTTCAAGAGAAATTCTGCCTGGCTTTCTAAAAAGGCACCCTGTATAACGGGGCGAATGCCCCAACAGGCCACTAGTTGAATATGAAATAAGCAAGAGTCGGAATTTGGAAGTTCGACTTAGTGAAGTGACGAAAGAAATGCGTGAGCGATCTCTTCTTAGATAAACACCAAGTGAAAAGTGTATTTAAACATAAATCATATACATATTAATAGTTTTAGGGCAAGCTTATTATGAGGCAATAAAACTACATTTTACATTAGGCCCGTGTTTTTCGACGATGTATTTCTTCTTATCTTGCCTATTTATTTTCACGATCCTTAATTAAAAAAAAGTTAATATTAACATCGTCTAATGAATTCTTTAAATAAGGCGTTTTCCGAGATGATTTACATTCCTGTTTCGAAATGGAGCCCGGGTCATTAAGAATTTTAATTAATCGCCGGAAAGCCGGTCGTAATGTAGAACGTGGAGGGTATAAAAGACGTGAGGAGAGGAAAGGCTAGCACCCCGCTGAGAGGCCGTGTCTCCCGTTGTATCAAGAGCGGTGCCCTGCATGATCTACGCCCTCTCCGGCCGTTTTATTGTTTTTAACATGACATCAATTCCGTTCCGTGGGGCATTAATTCAGAATAATGAAAGGGGATCCCACGAGATCGCCTCCTTTCCACGATACGACCACGATAAACTGTTTTGCTGTCGTGGCAATCATTATTTAAAACGCTCTGATCCATCTCTTTATCAATCGTCGGAGCTGAGTGGAGATTTTTTTAAAACCCAGAGTTGGACTCTAAAATAGTCACCAGAACTATAAAAGAGTTTATGGTGGAGTGGGAGGATTCTTACTTGAAATTGAGGTTGGGGCGAGGGGTTTCGATATGTTTGATTACACAGTGTTCTATTCGAATCAGCTAGTAAAAATGGATTGTCTACTTAATAATGTTCATTTAGCAACAAAAAAAAGATACAAAACAAAGTAAATTAACATTAAACAGCTAGTCGAAGCTACAATACTACACCAACAAAAATATGAACTATCTAATTGAAAACTAAAAGGTAGAAAACTTTTAAGAATTCACGAAGAAAAAAACTTAAAAAAAGACAAAAACTTAATCATAATTGAATTCCCTAATTAGTTCAAAACCATAAGACCAAGTTTGCCGCGCGTATCTGATTAGTATCAAGCAATTCTTTGGGGATGATTGGAAGGGTGGTTTGGGATAGTTAGAGGCTTTCCATATGGGTAAATGTAAATTCAGTGAGGATGGAACACACAGCCAAAAAATGGACGGCATCCTACTTAGCTTACACAAAGCACAAGATTGACACCTTAGCACGTAGAGCAACTGGCATCTTAACTTGAAAAACCAACTTAGCTCAATAGCTGAAAGTTCAGTACTATGGGCATTTAAGTTTAATAAATTTGGGGAGTGCTGTAAATCCTTGTAAAGTAAAAAACGGTTAGATATTCCAGCAGAGCGCACACACTTCTCCCCATTACATTGGTCCATCCTCTGACTGATGACCATGAACTGTCCCTATTTTCTAAGTTGGAAATTGCACACCACCACATCAATCCTTGAACCAAAACGTTTTTCTTCTTACAACATACGAGAAAGGCGGTGAGCAGGCGAATTTAGCATTTTAATGCAGTATCTTACATGAAGGCTGAAGGTGAAAACTTTAACGAGGGAAGTCGAGGTCTCCATCGTTAACGTATAATTAGGTGTCATGGGGGGTAGCCGAAATAACGTTTTAATAAAAAAAAAGATGAAATCATTCCAACAGCTCAAACCGTTGAAACCCCCAACATTGAGCGCCATAACATATAATTGATCGCGAAAAAGCTTTAAAGAGATTATATTTGGCAAGAGGAGGGACATTTCTGTCGTTAATAAAGTCGTTTCAGAAACGATTAACACCAAATTTAGCTATTGCTATTCTCTTCATTAAATGATTGTCTACTGTGCCACAGATCATCTCTGACACGCCTATTCTCGCTGTGGGTCTGGGTGTAGATGCTTTTTGAAAACATCTGTCTATGTTTTTTCGTTTACTTTTGCATTTTGAAACACACTAGAGAAGAAAATCTGTTTAACGTTTCATTAGGTACTTTTCATCTATTCGTGTTTTTTACACGACATTCATTGTTATTTTTTCTGCTCGGAAGGAAGCGGTTTGCGACAAGGCCCCTGTTCCATTTGCGGTCCGCCGCGTTGAATTATTAATGACCTCCGGTTAAAAAAATTACCGAGCCGGAGGAATTAAAGACGAGGAGCTGCCACGCGGACCACTCGAGCCCGACGATGACTTGCGGCCCAAAGAACAAAAGAGTGAAGCACCTCCTCCAAGTAGTCAAGTGCCCTTTGGGAACTCGGCATTTCGAGGATTTCCGTTTTATTTTCCGACCGCGATGAAGGCTCTCGTTGAGTGAGCATCGATCAATCATTCGACGAGTCGAGTTTCAATGCAGTTTATTTTGATCTCTATTTGTTTTTACCACTGCTGTCAGACGTTTGATAAGATATATCCGGTTCGAGGGGCATGTAACTCATTGACGGAACGTTGGAACATTTCGTGGCATTAGCGTTTCAGCACAGAATTTATTGATCAACATTTTCAATCGGTGAGAAGGTAGATGGGAAAATTTCTGCCATCTTAATTAATATTTCTACAATTACCACAATTGCTTAGTAGTCTTTTACTAGCATTTTCCACATTTTGCACTAGTAGCATTCCACATTTTTAAGCATAGTTTAAAGAATTATATCCATTTCTGACATGAGGCCATTGATCTGCAGACACGTCAGTGTATTTATAACCTGATTTTTCACTATTTTTAATCCTCTTTCCTACTACTACTCACGGTTCTGCTTAGACCTAAAGAGAGCAAGCTGTCAAATAGGAGGAATAAGTAACTATACTGTAAAATACATAGGGAATTCCTTATTGCAAAATTTATGCAACACTCCCCATCATGAAAATTTTACCGTTGATATTAGAAAACCGCCGACCTTTCTGATAATGTTGTCATTGTTCATGTATCCAATCAATGCGATAAAAAAAGCATTGAAAATTCCCAATTCTGTGAAACCACCATTAAAACTGATTGTGGGTTATAATAAATCATAATATGATAAAACAAAAAACCAAAAACGTTTTTACTTTTAGAGAAACTCAAAATTTAAAACATATTAAATCCATTATATTTCATGGTCCGATTGACCAAATAACTTCTTTCCATTAATTCATCTTTATGTAAGGTATTGGTTGAAATGAAAAAGTTAGTGTCATGAGCGGGATTCGAACCCACGACCTTCGGCTAAATACGCCGCTGCTTGAGCTATCGTGACATCGAACCACTCGGACGTTAACTTCCCATCTCAAATACAAATTCAAAAGGTGATGAAAAGGTTGAGATAGAAAGTTAGTGACCGAGTGGATCGAAGTCACGTAGCTCAAGTGGTAGAGCAGCGGTGTATTTAGCCGAAGGTCGTGGGTTCGAATCCCGCTTGTGACATTAACTGTTTCATTTCAACCAATACCCTACATAAAGATGAATTAATTTAAAACACACTTATTGCAATTAATAAAATAACCGAAAAATAATATAAAGAATCAAGGCATTTTACTACATTTTTAAAATTCAGTTTCCCTTCCGGTTTACTAAATAGTAAAAAAAAAAAAAGAAAGTTTTATTCCGTTTGTGGCCTTTATAAAAGAAACTCATGGTGATCTATAAAAACGGCAGTTTTAGTGATATTTGAGAGTAAAATATGTTATTAAAATCATCTTTTGTACGTTTTATATATAAACCATTTAGAAATTTAAAAACAGATCTAGCTTAATCTTATTCAATAGTTCTTTTGTTATTACAAACTTGACACACTTGTCGATCTCCTCGATGTCGGAAGTGTTAAGAAACAAAAGCTTCAACTTGTACAGCGGGAGTCGAAAAACAAACAACTGTGGGATCTAAAGCCATGTGGCCCAGCTGGGCTTGAAGAGATCCAAAACAGACCCTGTCTGTTTACCGTTGGGCGAAACAACCGATTTTAAAAAGCTCATTTTTTATGTCGGTTTATGTTAACTCACCGTGGATGGTCTCGTTGAATTTGTTTCTTGTCTCGGGGCTATCGACGTGATTGCAAAGATCCTCCTTGCAGCAGAGCAGAAGCGTGTTCTGCGGCAGCCCTTTCGGGGCACCGGGCAAATTTTGGCACCCGTGGTTCCTTTCCCTGGAAAAAATATAAGAGCATTTTATAACAAGCAAATAAGTTGATTGCCAACTAATGTAAGACTAAATTTTAGTCCCTACACACGCTCGATTTGTATTGCTCAATATGCATTAAACTGAACAATAGCTTGCGTTTCATATATTTGTTTTGATGTTCGACAATAGTATCGAATAATTCAGGGTGAATATAACTATTCATTTATTCTATGACTATTTATTTATCAATTTTCACTTGAGACCAATCTTGATCCTTTACTGGCATCCTCGAACATAAAGGAAAACATGGATTTTGCGAACTGATGTTTGCCTTGTGTGTAATATTCTATAAATAGTGCTATTTTCAAGGTTCAACGTTCATGCAAATAAGAAATTATATTGTGAGATACCTTGGTAAAAGTTCTAAGCAGCCGTGGCTCGCCTTGTTGAAGTCCGTCGACGAGGTCAAGTCGGAGAAGCATCCCAGGCTTTCGGACTTGCAGAGGTACGACGTCTCGACGCACTCGGCCAAATTGCAGTAACAGCGTATTTCTGTGAACAAAACGAAAAGTGTGAGCGTTTCCTTGAGCGTATATTCAGTCCTTTAATTTGTAACTTTCATATTTTTAGAAAAAACAATAACTTTAGAGCGGAACGTCTAATGCGAGAGCGGGGTTCGATGATTAAACGGCCAATAAGAACGATACGAGAGTAAAATACTGGTTTGGTGAGCCAGCCGGTTTCCCACCGGAGGCTGCTGCCGTTGCGGCCGAATGGTTTCCAGCCCTTTCTGGATATGGCCATAGGACCGCCGACTATTCGGATCGAGAAGGTCAGTTTGACTGAAATGACGCATTAATAAAAGTTAAACTATTAATTACCGTATAATAAACTAAGGGATACACGGAAATTTACTTACGAGATGTTGGAAAGTTAGAGGATAACTCAACTCAAAACTGACTGCTCTTTAAAAATCAAACTTTATGTACTTTAAAAGAGAAGAAATTTTACTAAAAAGCACTTTGTTTTTAAATTGTTTACATTAAACCTATTGCAAGGTTCTAAGGGATTCCTTGTGTTTTCTTTACGCGACGATACACGGTTGTGTTCATTTAGAAACTTAAACATATTCGTTCCAACAGGAAAAAAACCAATCGAATATTTTTGTTTTTACTCCTGACCAACATGAAAACCACTGTGTACACCGTTTGATATTTCAATCGATTATCATTCCAAAACAAAGATTATTATTTGGAGATTGTGAGATGCGGTCTAGTGTGACGTAGGTTTTAGAAACACATTTTCTTTATCGTGCCAACGTTTCCATCTTTATTGAGATCATCTTCAGGGCCTGGGATTTATAAACATTGTTTGAATTTTACAAATACATGTAGGATGTGGAAAAAATGAATTTATACAATGCTAGTATTTTTAAATTCAATCAAAGTACTTGTACTCACTCAAAGTGTTTGTTTTCTGTTTGTTCTCAAAACTCAAATGTGGGAAGTTTAGGGACCGACAAACAGCTGAGGTCATCGTATTTTTCTACCTGTTGCCATTTGAGCGTCTCGATCAGCTACTGACTCCGCTTTTGTATGAAAATTATGTCGCGATATCCTAAAATGCTAGTATCTCATTTGTATCTCAGGTTGTCAACTACGGAATACACACTAGACATAAAATGCGTAATGCATATATATATATAAGAAGTATCTAAAGCTAGCAACAAACTGTTGAATACACAATTTTTGTCGTAAGTACTAGATTTAGTAAATCCACTCCGAAGAATATGGAGTACTCTGGGGGAGTGAATGTAACCAGAGTTCTATGCTTGTTTAGGGTGGTGAAGTGTTTCTTTAGATAATTCTTTTCAAAATATATAATCATAGAGCAGATTTGTGTTCAACGTGTTTTCCTGTTTATTACTTGAACGCATAAATTACCTAAAAACCTTTTAAAAATTGGGAAAATAGAACGGATATGTTTGTAAAGATATAAATAATAAAAGGCTTAATTCTTTTAGGGGTGTGGTTTTTTTTAAACAGGGGTTCGCATCATCAGAGGTCATTTCAAACCCCGGAGTTCCGGTGTTTGCCACCAAAATAGCTCATTTGGATGTACTTTGGTTTCGAATTCACGAATAGAGTAGCCTTGTCAACACTTGCAGCCCAGATTCCAACTGTTGTTTTTGATCGAACATTAAATTTCGATTTGCCTGCATTGTTGGACAGATTTCGACAATTCGATTTTCTCTGATTATTCTGCTCCGCCCGTTCACGCTGTATATCTCGATCTGATACGTTTCGGCTTTCCGCAATTTACTGTTAATGTCAATAATAAATCATCCCTCTTCCAAAAGGATTCGCACTGTTGATTCTAATCATTGGTCAGTTGATTTTATCTGTCATTAACTAATTACTTGATTACATAGAATATTTACCATCGAGACAAAACTGTGCACGACCGATTAATAAGGGTCTAGGGAATAAAATATACAATAATAAAAACAAGTTATGCATATAGCGCAAAAGACTTATAAAATATAGCAATTGGATTTTCTATTGGATTGAATCGGAATTGTCTTACTAAACTTCGCCAAACATAATCTCGCTTTTTACACACAAAAACCCAGTGGTAGAACTCAAAAGGGTAAACAGTCAAATAGGAAAAAATAAAATAAAATTAAATAAAACCCATCTCCGGTCCGCTACCTGGTTTTTTATGGCCAGTCTTTTTTTTCCGTACCGCCCGAGGGGTTTGTCAACACGGCTAACTTACGAGCCAAAGATAATCCCTCTTGTCATAAACTAACAAACAAATATCCCGAGCCCCCGCCACAGTAGGCCGTGTCAGATCTCCTAAAACGCGTTCATTCCGCCGGATTAAAAGAGAAAATTGAAAATTAACAATTAATCACAAACGGCTATCGACATATCTTTTACCCAGGTAAAACAGCACTAAATGCATATTGAATTGTATTGTTATTTATGGAAAGAATTATGTCAAAAATATATTGGATTTATTTTAAATTTATCAATAATATATGGCATACTGGATATCTAGGAAGTTGATTGACGTAAAAGTAGCGTAGTTTTGAAGAGAAAACAGATTACTACAGATTAACGATATTATTTCAATACGATTAATTATAAATAGTTATGAGTAAACAACAAGTTAAATTTTAATTTTTTGTGACAATAATGCATAAAGATAATACATATACAATTTTAAGATATCTAAAAAAAAATGACACAACAAATCAATCAGAATAAATACTTCATTAGGTAAAGCAATTTTCAAATGAAAGTTCCGTGTTAATTTATTTTTCATAGATCATTTTTTTAAAGTATATAATTATGGTTATTCGAATATGGATGTGTTTATGAAAATTGAAGACTGACTGCATGGTAAATAAGCCGCAGATAAGGGTACGATTATTATTACTGGCGACTTAACAGCAACTGGAAGAACGAGAGCTGAAAGAACGTTTGCGCGTATCTAAGAATTTACAGAAGTGTACAATAATCCTGGTCATGATTAACAAACTGCAATGTTTTGGGGAGCTGACAAACCAGTGTAGACGTCTTACTTCGGCGGCCTATTGTACAAAGTCCATTAAAAATTTAAATTATGAAAAAGAATATTTAAAAAATGTTCAACGGCTGTATAATGGACCCGGAGAGCATAAATATGGTAATCCCGTGTCTTTTCTATAATTTCTAACGACATATTACCAGAGAGGAGGAGGAAGAGCAGGTCTAACGACTCCGGTGCCGAAAAAGGTGGAAAACGCGCCAGTCTAATCGCTACCCAATTTCCGACAGCCGGTGATTACCAAAAAAAGTCCGACTTGGTAATAATGAGCGGCCCTTTCTGTTTCGTCGGGTCGGATCTGAAGAAGGATAATCGCCTCCTCCGCCAACCGGTAGACGAGCTACTTCCAGAGAAAAAGTGAAAGTCTTGGACAAAAAGCTTAACGACGGCCACCGAAACCCGGAGGCGGTCATAGGACGGCTAACAACCGACGCGATTTTTTTTATTCGGTTCAAAATAAAAAACAAACGTGGAATATCTCAGCTTTTATAGAAAGCCAGATTTTATACGAACAACCAACGACAACCTTGACATCTCCACTAACATCAATGTCAACCCGTTCACCTCCCAAGGAGCGATTCAAATAGACAGATGACTAAAACGAGGGGATACCTTTTTTAAATTTAAAATTATATAAAATGTATATTATAAACAAAAAAAAACTATAAACTAACAATATACGATATGTTCCGAAGTATGAAATTAGTTTAAATTTAATTTAAGTACCAATGCAACTTGCATTTCTCAGATTGTGTTTTAAACAACATATTATATATTACCTGCGTTGGGTTAATAAATTGTCGACCGTCTGAAGAACATTTCACTAGTGAGGTTTGTCTCGGCAAGTCACAGTTTACGAAAATTGATCCCACGGTAATAAATAAGCCCTTTTGAGAACCTGCTACCAGCAAAAGAAGCACCAATGGTCCAGTATACTCTGATATCGATCTGGGCCCACTAAGCCCTATTAACTCGACTTCTCTTCTTCACATTAGATTCTTTTTCCGACCCTTACCCTTCTTCCTGCACGTTAATATTTATTTGTATGAAGAATCCGCGTTTATCGGCTTTCGGGGGGTTTATCTTTTACACAAAATCGATATTGATCTTATCGCTAATGATTTCGTCATTTGAGCTTAACTTTACTTTTTTTTAAATTAATACATAAAAATAAATATACATAAACATTTAATATTTTTTTAAATTGTAAATCAATGGTTGAGTTTAATGCTTTAAGTTTTTCGTTTTTCATCGTTGGCTGTTTGAAAAAGAACGAAAGAACCCCCCCCCTCGAAGAAGAGTAAATACACAATAAGGTTTTTATATTTAATTGCATTCAGAAAAGCCATGCAATCTCATCAAATTGAATTTACCACACGATCGAATATTTTATGAATGTTGTAGTACATTATTCAGAAATCGTGAGATGCGGTCTGGTGTGATGTAGGTTTCAGAAAAACATTTTCTTTATCGTGCCAACGTTTCGATCTTTATTGAGATCATCTTCAGGGCTCAAAGTGTTTGTCTTCTGTGTAATTGTGCCATTCTTGCGTGTCGTGTTGAGAGTGCCCGTTGTAGTACATGTCGAAGATTTGAGGGGACGGATGAGAGAGAGAGAGAGAGAGAGAGAAAGAAAGAAAGAGAGAGAGAGAGAGAGAGAGAGAGAGAGAGAGAGAGAGAGAGAGAGACAGACAGACAGACAGACAGAAGAGACGGAAATCTCGGAGAGTCGAACATTCGTCAGGATTGAATTTTCTTCCGAATTCGACATTGTGACGATAAAACAAGACATCCAGATATTCAAATTTCAGAACAACGTTTAGTAGATAAAATCCACAAAGTAGGTACCTTAGCCGAAGCCACTCTCTCCCCATCCAACACACGCTCACTCGATAAAAATCTAACGAAGGTCTGGATTAGATTAGATTATATAGGAGTCGGCTCTTTACGGCCTGGGC